TCGTTTTAACTTTTACTCTTCTTTTATTGTATTGTTTTTGCTACTTTTCTAATGTTTCTATTCCATAATATATAATTCTCCAACAAAATCAATGTTAACTATTTAATTTCCATCTATTAACTATTATATCTACATATAATTTTATTAAATAGCTTTCATTTACAATTTTCATTCATAATTTTTGTTGATTTTATTAATTTTACGAAAATTATAGTATTATATATTACTACTGTACTTTCATTGTTATTTATAAGAATTCTAGTTCCGTATTTTTTTATATTGAAAATATACAATTTATAAAACTATGATTATAAAACTAATAGATATATGTACTCATACAATTTTTAAGATAATTTCAATTCCAAACTATAGTTATAATTTTTTATAAATATACAAAATATATATATATATATATATATATATATATTAAATGTATATTTTTATTTATATAATAATCAATATAAATATATATTTCAATATGTATTTCAAATTTTAATATTTATTCCTTTAGTCAAATCGAAAGATAAGTTAATGTTGATGTGGTGATAAAGAAACTTTTTCTTCCAGTTGAAATCATAGTTTTTTCTTTTTATGGAAAATTGTACACCAAAAAGCATACCTGAAATAACCGGTTTTGCCGGGAAAATACATGTGAACAAGGCGTGGCAAAATGGTTGGAGGCTAACAGGAACAGGAATATAGTAGGGGAACTTAACGGAACATGTCGAAAACGACCGAATCTGACATCTATTGATCGTAACAGGTTCTGTACAGTTTCCTACAGATACTCAAATAATTCGAATTTAAAATTCTATATTTATAGTTCAAATGAAATTTTATATTAATTTATTAAATATATTAAATGATTATAATTATTTAGGTTTTTACATATATCTTACTTATAATATTATTTGTATCAATTCTTTATAATCATTTATGATTACGTTACTATAAATACTATAAATCAAAATAAAAGATATATCAAAATAAAAGATTATATTTATAAATCATCTTTTTATGTAGTTATATGTTATTTTAAAAAAATAGATATTGTCACATCAGAAGTTCACTCTTGACTATTTTTGTTGTCTTGTTTACGAATAAAACTCAAGCAAACCGTTGAATAGTTAAATATAAGTTGACATTCTCATTCCACGGAATACTTGACTATTGATTTTATCCCTACCATGGTCTCTTCGTCCTTTGGTAATAAGTATGCGCTGTAGCTGTGATAGTATGCGCAGAAATGTAATCGTCTTTATGGAGAAGACGAGTTCACCACAATATAGTAGTAGTCTAACTTGATGCAAGGAGAAAGGGGATACTTGGATACGTTGACCCAACATCCCTGACTAGTCCTCCCTCTCCAATATCTCCTCCCACAAATCTGGTTTCATTGCGAGTTGCGCACAACTTTCTAAGCTCGAACCTTCTCTGACGACGTTTGTTCAAGTTATGCTCATTGCGTGCAGAGTAGGGATAGAAAAAGATAAAGATTTCAATAAAGGTTCTGATTAATAAGATTTTATGAGCTTGTTCAAGATTATTAATTGAACCTATTATACAAAAATAATATAGTTCTTTGTACGATTAAATAATTTAAAATATTATGTTTTTATATCAAGAAATATTATAAATAAACAAAAATAGAAAGAAACATAATTAAATCAATATAAATAAAATGTTTATGTAAATATAAATATTCAATTATAAATATGCATTTATATATATATATATATATATATAAATATAAATATGCATTTATATATATTATACTTGTAAATAAATATATATAAATAAAATTTTTTATTCTAAGATTTATTATTATATTCTATTATTCTCTTATAAGATCATGTAACATTTTGGAATTGACCACACAGGAAGAGAAAAACTTGGCAACATAGGGGATACTTCCATCCAATTCTGTAATTTCGTCATGTATATACATATCTTTCAAGAATTATTTTCTTTATTGACTTCACTAACGTAAAATTGTTATTATCTTTTTTATTTTTAAAATAAAATAATATATTTAAATATATATTATATAACAAGTATATAAATTATATTGTATGCATATAAATTCTACTTTTTTAAAGTTTATTTTAATATAATTTACAATAATAAACATAAATTTAAAATATTAAATATAAAAAATATAATAATAATATATTTTAATAAGAGTTTTCTTTAATAATATTTGAAAATATTTATTTTTTTTTTTATATTACTATTCTAATAATAGAATTCTTTTATTTCATCATTGATTATAATTAATCAAAAGTAATTTAATATCTTTCCCTTCTCTTTTTCTCTATTTACTGATTTTCTTATACAGGTAATTTGCAATTTGACCTCGTTTGTTGACCTCACTGGTTGCTAGGCACCAGTTATATTGTCAAAGAGAGGGAGTTAAATTTTAGCGATGTTGCCAAATGGTTTCATATCAAAAATACTATATAATTAAACTCTAATTTGATGAATTTTTTTATATTAGAAAAAATAAATTTTTAATAATTAATTAAAAAATTATTTATCTAATTTTATCGTAATTATTGATATTAAGTTCATATATAAATAATTAATATTTTTAATATTTAATATGTAATCTGAAATTTATAATTGTGAATTATATTTTTTATTAAATATAAATATTAATAAAGTATCAATATTTAATATGTAAATAATTATTATTACTTTTTATAAATATTAATAAATGTATAAATATTAGAAATTTATATTATCATTCTTTATATTTTTAAATATACTCTTTAATATAATATTAATTATTGTTAATTAAATGTGTATTATAAATTGTTGTAATCAGTGCCGCCAACGAAAAGAAAAATTGTATAGTGTTATCATGTTTTTCATTAAACACAAATAATATATTTTAATTAAAAAGCATATATTGATTATTTGTTTATATATTTAGGTTAACTGATTTTCATCAATGAAAAGTATTCAATAATAAATTTTCAATTAAAACATATAATTTTTAATTAATTGTATGTTGATTGCATTTTAATTTAATATTTTAAATTATATTTTTAAAAATAATAATAAAGATTTTTTTTAAGATTTTCATTTCAATATCTAATATTATGTGAACAAAAACTGTCATTAATAATTTCAAACAAGAGGTTAAGTTATTTATTTTATTAATATTTATAATAATTTTTCATTATAAATATTATGTAATATATTTTATTTTTAAAATATCATCAATATTTCATCAATATATATTTTCAATATAAATAAATGATTATTTTAATATGAAGTATACAGATTTTTTCCAAATACATTTCATAAATGATGAATGTATATAGAAAATATACTGAATTAATTCTTGTCTGTGTTTACAAATTGTACAATAATTAACTTGAAATATTTAAATATCTTATATATTTATATATACCATAATAATTATAAATATAAAATAGAATAATTCATAATCATGTTTAGTACTTTACGAAACAAGTTTCAAACTGTTCAAGAAGGTATATCAGCTAGGTAAATTTTATACAAATAAAAAAATATGTTAAAAGATAATTTAAGTATTTTACAATTATATTTTGTATTAATTTTATTTTAGTATCAGAGGATTGACTGTTATTGAAAATCCAAAACAAAAAAAAAATAACAATATCAGAAATGTTAATTACAATGCAGGAGCTGATATTTTGCATAGATTTCAATTACAATGGAATGAACTACATGAGCTTGCAGAAGAAAATGCAGGGAAAGCTCAAGAAGCTGATAAACTTATTGGAACTATCTATGAGAAACTTGAACATGAGTGGAAAAGTCTTACTTGTTTAAATAGTACTTTAGCTTACATTCCAAAAATTAATAATGCAATACAGGATCTTATGGATCAAATAGGTATTATTATTTAAAATGTCTTTTTAAATAATAATTTTTTAATTTAAATATATTATAAATATGAAAAATTAATTGTAAATGCTTATTAAATATTATTAAATATTATTAATATTATTAAATATTATTAAAGGAACATTACAAGAAATGTTTGAAGAAGTGGAAGCTGCAATATATCGTTTAGAAGATTTAAATGAAATGTTAGATTTGCAAAGTAGACAATTAGATCATAGATTTCAATTAGCCTTATATAAAGAAAAAAAGCTTGCAGAATTAAATGTTATTAAAGGTATACATATAATATTTGAAATATATTATGTAATTATAATATAAAAATATTAAAAATATATATTGATTTTAGCAAAATTGGCCAATGAACATATTGAAAGAGTATCAAAATATGAGCTTAAACAACAGAAAATGATGAAAGAAAGACGAGAAACATTTGATGAAGTTTTTAAAGAAGAACTTAAAGAATATAAAGCAACAGGATCTATATCAAGTATATCATAATATATTTTAAAAATAAAAAATTAATGCTTTTAATTTTAATTTCTTATATTTTATTCCAAACAAATGTTATTTTCATATAATTTTCTTCAATAATAAATTAAATTATTAAATTAATTTTTAATAAAACTAATTTAATTAATATATTTAATATAATTTAATATAACTAATTTAAAGTACAATAAAATTGATTTTTATTTTAGAATTACCAGTGACACAACAAGGTCCATCATTGGATGAGATAGTTTTGGATGTAGATTCAACAATATTTAATGAATTTTTAAAAAATTAAGAATGTAATATATGTGCATATGCACATGTATGTATGTGTATGTATGTATGTATGTGTTTAAAAGAATAAATATAGAAATATTTGAGGAATAATTATAAATTATATAATATATAATTATATAAAATTCTGTATGAATTATGTAAAAATAAATAATAACTTTTAGAAATATTTTTTTATTTATGATTAAATAATATAAAATATATAATATATATTTAACAATATATAATAATATATTTGATTTATTTATAATATTTAAAAACAAATAATATTATATTATTAATTAAAATTACTATCATATTTATAAAAAAATTGTATTTTTAATATTTGTAATTTTTTATTTTCTTATATTAATCGAAAATTAACTGGTTAATGTCGAACTGATTCTTAGTTACTATTGTATCTGAACAAGAAATAGAGAATACGTTCATAACCTTAAAAGAAGATTGATATTTAGGTAATAATAATAAAAATCACATTTTTTATTTTATTATTTTTGTATTTGTTAAAATATATTTATATGTTATGCAATGAACAATATAAAGATAATATAATATAAATCCAAATTTTATTATATATTTTTATTGAAATTATTTATAATAATAAATATATATTTTCTAGGTTAAAATGTTGCCGAAATATAGAAAAAAAAGTTATATTTTGGATAAACTACATCATGGATTTGTAAAAATTTGTATGGGTGTTACAGTAATTGGAGGAGTAGCTTTAGGATATAAAATATATGTTTATTTTCGATATATAAAACCTGCATTACGAGAAATACAAATGCAAAATAATAACGATTTATTAGAAGAAGGAAGATATAAACCGATTGTTGGTTAAAATAAAAGAAATTTAATAATAATTTAATAATAAATTAATAATAAGTTTAAAATATGTAGAAAAGTTGTAATAAAACAATAGTTAAAATAAAATTTATAATTATCAATAATATTAATGGAATGTTTTATATGTGGCAAAAATTATTACATTTATTAATTATTTAAAATATATATTTGCTAAAATATATATATGCTGTTAAAATCTAAAAAAAAAGTATATTTATATATAAAATTTCATTGATAATATTTTTTACAGATTTTATTTATTTCTTATTATAATTGTGTACATTTATTATTTAAGTGCTATTTAAATTATTATAAAAAGATATACATATTATGAAAATATACCCTGAGTAGTTTTCAAAAAGAAAGTGTATTTTATATTTTGTTTTTGTAAATATTGTATCTTTATCTAACTATAGATAATTTTAATTTTTTTTATTAATATTAATAAAATATTAAAAATGAAGTTATAATATTAAAGTACTGCACATTTTTTATAAATGCAAATATTTTTTGCTAGAATATTAATTTTGAAAAACATTTTTAATGAACACATGTGCATTCATTTCATTTTTTTTTTGTACATTTCACATTCATTAAGTATTATATTAATGAAAAAGAATATCTTTTTCCTGAATCAATGTCATATTTTATACAAATAAATGAAATATATTCTTCTTGTATTTAAAATATGTCATTATTAAATTAAAAACTAGTTATTTTAAATGGAAGGATAACTACTGTTAATAAGTAAAATTTTATGTTATAAAATTTGTATATTAAATAAACATTTTATGTTTAATATTTACACATACGTAAGTTGAGTGCACATGATACATTTACAAAGTAATACATGGTCAAGAATGTTATCGCAAATGCTCTCAATTAAAAATTGTGATATAATCATGCACACAAATTGCTATTTATCATAAAGCCTAATCATTTTAAAAATGCCAAATGTTTTTTGAAATTATCGTAAGTCTTACAGAAGGCAATATTTTTTATACAGCTTCCAAAAGGAGTTTTCGAGTACAAAATACATCATATTTATATACAACATTCTATTTTTTTTATGTAATAGACATAATTTGTACTCAGTTTTTTCATTATATTAGTCAAACAGCAATATTTTAGAAAAATTTTTAAAAGTAAATATACATACATGTCAAACTAGAAAAGTCACAAATATTCAATTCTATTTACATTTGTAACAAACAATGTAAGACTTACTATATGTGGATTTGTGTATATATATGTTGTTAATATAATACAATGAACTTAAAAAATTAAATACATATATTTATCCGAAATATTAATGTAGCTACTTTGTATACCAACAAAATAATGAAATTTAGTTTTATATAGATCGATCATTAAATCATAAAAGTAAAATTTGAAGTACCGATTCTTAACAATCAATATTTTATTCCGTTTAAAGAAAAGAACATTCTGATCAAACGAAATAAAGAAAAGAAAAAAAAAAAAAAAACAAATATTCATTTTTTTAATAAAAACATTTTATGTTTTGTTAAACACCTTAATTCTATGATCTGATCAAATACTTGCACAAACCCTGTAGCCCACAGGCTGCAACTTGAAATTCTGCGAGTAAAAATATTAAATGATAAACATTATGAACTATTAGATGTGGGATTAGAATTTGATAATGATTCCACACGCATTGAATCAATTCTAGCTACGATTTTCAATGCAGGACCCAATTTAATACTCATAGCCGACATAAGATGATCTTCTTTGAGTAACATTAATGCTTGACCATCTATTTCTTGAATAGCAAAATCTTCTGCATAATCAGCACAACCAGGTAATCCGCGTATAAAATCACATACTTCACCAACCTATAAATTTTTGATTATATTAATTATTTTTTTTTATTGTTATTTTTATACTTGCATAACATCCTTACCGTCCATTTTACAGGATTAACTTTCGGCAGTGTATCATCAACAGAAGAAGTAGTAGTTGTAGTGGCGGATAATGATTTTTCTTCTCCGTTTTTCTTCATGTCTCCATCATTTTTAGATTCAGTCTCTATCTCAGTCCATTGTTTTTCAGTACCCTCACGATCTCTCACTTCTCGTTTTTTGCTATTTAATTCAAAATATATCATAATAAAAAATTATTAAATATTAATAATATATAATATTCTACAAACTAATTCATTTATTAACCTTTTTGCACAATCAGATGAGCAAAATCGTTTCTCTTTTTTAAATTTAGTGTTTTGTTCATCTACTAAATTACCACAAGCTTCACATTTTCCAATTTGAACATTATTTATATCTTCATCATTAGAATAATTAGGTGCATGTTTTTTTCCTATAGTAAATTCAGATTTAATATTACTTATATTTATATATAAAATATTTATATAAAAAATTTAATATTAAAAAAGGTTGAATTTTTTATATCTTACTTGGAGGTTCTTCATGATTTTCTTTTTCAGATGATGAATTACTATTACGATTTAAAATATTATTTGTTTCTTGATTAACTGTATTATTCAATGATGTTCGATTAACTGCGAATGGTTCAGACGCTAAAATATTAATATTAATTAAATATAAACTATTAGATTAATATTTATTGATAATAATATTATGATATTTCAAATATTAAATTCATACCTTCTTGAATAACAAAACCTTCAATTACATGTGTAAGAACTTGTGGTTTGACCATTGCTTTTGGCGGTACATGTTTACTATTTGCACTAACTGGTACAGAAACAGGAATTGTTGTTGAGTCTTCATTGTTGACACCATTTGTAATTGAATTAATTGTATTTGCTAATCCTGCTAAAGGATTGTTACATGACTTTTCTTCCAATTTTATTAATGAACTTTCTTCATCTTTTATGGCCACTTTAGGTTGGTCCCCATCTATGACAAAAATAAAATTGTACACACACACACATATATATATATATGTATATTACATTCTTAATATATATTCATAATAATTCATTATAAAAATTCATTAATATATATATATATATATATAGAATGTAATATATTCATGAGACACTTTTGAGAAGCAGAAAAGAAAGTGGAACCTCTCTATCTTCATTATATCATATTCTGTTCTCACATCATTTAATGTAAACTTAATATATATTTATAACTTATTATAATTATATAATTAAGCCTTAATTAATATTTTTGAATTCCAATTTTTATATTTATTTCGATTTTTAGAATCGATTTTCAAAGATATCCTACAAATATATTAACTTTGTATATAGAATGAGATAGAATATATATATATATATATATACGAATAATGATATAGATTAGATTTAGATATAGATATAGATATAGATATAGATATAGATAGATGATGATAGATTATTAAATAATGAACAAACCTGTCGTTTCTGGTTGAGATACTGTAATTTCTTCTATTGTGACTGGTATTGATTCTTCTTTTTTCAATATCGGTTTAGAATTCTCTTCATTTGTTGGTTGTTGTTGTTGTTGTTGCTGTTGTAGTGCCATATTCGCTATAAGAAAAAAGATATAAAATTCGCTATAATAACAAATATATAGAAATTTATCATTTTTTTTTAGATATGCAAAACATTATCTCACTTATTATTGGTTTAGGTTGTATTTGTTGTTGTGATGATTGCACTTGTGGTTGTTGATATTGCTGTTGCATCTGTTGTTGTTGTTGTTGTTGCGTATGCTGTTTTTGTTGAATAAAAACCTGTTGATGTTGTTGTTGTATTGTTTGCTGCGATTGTTGCGGTGATTGCAGTGATTGCACTTGTGGTTGCGATAATTGCACTTGTGGTTGTTGATATTGTTGCTGCATCTGCTGTTGTTGCTGTTGAATAAAAACCTGTTGATGTTGTTGTTGCATCGTTTGCTGTGACTGTTGCGGCGATTGCAGTGGTTTACCACGACCTTTACCACTACTACCGCTTCCTTTTCCACTCTAAGTTATAAAACATAAAAAAAAAACTTCTTTTTCATTGTATGAAAATAAAAAAAAGTTTCTATATATTTACATGTGATTCGAAAATCACAACAGTTGAAATCATTTTTTCAACTGTTGATTTTTTTTAATTATAGTAACCTGTACATGTACCGTAGTTTGAACTCCATGAACAGTTTGTGTTGAAACAGAACTAGCAGCTCGTATGTTAGCAGCTTGAACTGCTTGTAAAGAGGACGGCAAAATACTCAAAGGTCGTTGTCCACCTGTACTTTGTTTACCCTGTTGTTGCTGTTGTTGTTGTATATCCATTACCTTTGGTTTTCCACTTGCTGCAGCAATTTGTTGTACTCCTTGAATTTGTTGTTGCGTAGCTAGTGCTATTATAACGATAAAATAATTCAATTGGAAATATAAAATTTTATATCAATTGCATTTAATATAAATGCAAAACTAACCATTATGAGCTTGAATTGGTTGAGGACTTTGTATAAACATATCAGGTTGAGTAGGACCTCTAATAAATATTTGATTAGTTAAAAGTGCTGGTGGTTGTATTCCAGTCCAAGCAACTTGTGGTGTAAATTGCCAAGGAGCAAATTGCATACCACCTCGTCCTCCGGATGGAGTAGCAGCTGTACATGTAGTATACTGCACATTTTAAAAATAATAAAATAATTAAATATAGAATATCTATTATAAGATAAAATAAAAATAATGTTACCTTTTGTACTTGGTCTTGTTTATTTGCAGATTGTTGTTGCTGTTGTTGTTGTATAGATGGAGGTTGTGGGGAACCCAATACACCAAGTTGTCCAAATACTAATGTTTGCCCTGCTCCAGGTGTAGCAGAAGTAGGTACAGGTAAGTAGCCTGTAGGAAATCCTTGAACCTTAGTTCCTCCAGCTGCTGGATGGCCACCTCCTTGACCTGGTGTTGATGCAGTAGTTAGCATATGAGGTGTCAACTGAGCAGCAGATTGAAATGGCTTCCCAGCAGTTATAACCTGTAAAGTGTCCTACTTAGAAAAAGATTTATGTATTTTAATAGTAATAAATATCATGAATATATTTAAGTACCTGTATAGAAGAAGGATTGATGCCAGCAGGATGGAGAGCTAAATTCCCTGGCATCAATAATGGAGTTCCTTGTGTATTATAAAGTTGTTGTAAATGATATGCTTGATTCTGCATAGGTTGTTGAATAACTTGTACTGCTTGTGGATGTGCAGCCATAGTAGTTATAGTTGTTGCTCCTTGTTGACCAGACAAAGTCATAGATACACCTCCAACTCCTTGTTGCTGATGTTGCATTGACACTGCAACAGCTCCCTGGAATATTTTATTTTTTATAATAATTTATTTTATTTTTAATAATAATTATTTGACAATAAAATTTATATATGTTAATGCTTAATGTTTCCATTATAATAATATTCTTCTTTTCGAATGTTTACCTGCTGTTGAGGCATAATTGCTGCTACCTGTGGCTGTACTTGCACTTGAGTAGGAACAACGTTATGTGGTCCACTGTTAGATTGTTGTTGTTGCGATTGTTGTTGTTGTTGCTGTTGTTGCACTTGCTGTTGTACTTGTTGTACTTGCTGTTGTACTTGCATTTGTTGTTGTGATTGAACTTGTTGTTGAATTTGTTGTTGTGGTTGAACTTGTTGTGGCTGTACTTGTTGCTGTGTTTGCTGTTGCACTTGTTGCGACTGAGATGATTGCTGTTGAACATGCTGTTGCTGTTGCTGTACATTTTGTTGTTGTTGAATATCATGGGTTGCAATCATCATTTGTTGTGGCTGAGATTGCTGTTGCTGTGATTGTTGTGGTTGCTGCAGCTGTTGTTGCTGCGATTGCTGCTGCTGCTGTTGTGACTGTTGTTGTGTTTGTTGTGGCTGATTTTGAGAGATTCCAATTGGTTTAACATCTGTCATGTTTTCTTACACCTTTTTATTATTTGAAGTTAAACTTCCTTTAAGAAGTATTCTTCCTACTTTTATATTCTTGATAATTTAATATCTTTTTTCTTTGCCATTTTATATGTTTCTTACTAAAATATTATTTTTAATCTTTTTAGTTTACTGCACCTAAAAAATAAATTTTTAAAAATTAAAATTTTTTGTATATATAAATTTGTAAAAATAAATCATTATATTAATATTATATTCAAAATAACAATTATTTATATAATTTATTTATTATTATTGTATAATATGTATATTTATTATTAAGTAATATGTATTATTTATTATTATTGTATAATATGTATATCAAAAAATCTTACATTATTATAAAAAAATATAAATTTTAAACTAATTATAATAAAAATTTGATATATATTTATAAACTTATAAATTTAAAAATTTTCAAGAATAAAAAAATAGTTGTATACAATTACATAAAAATATATACAATTTATGAATTAAAGCAACTATAGTGTATTATATGCAACAATATAAAAAAAAGTTGCATAATATTTATTGCTCATAACCTTAAAAATTTTGATACACGTGGAATGTGGAAAGTTAAAATTTGAATTTTTTTTTATTATTACGTGAAATATTAATAACAAAGTGTGTGAAAGTGAACGAAGTGGAAAATATAGCTTAAAAATGTAAGTGTTTTTATAACAAAAAATACAATGTTGCATATTTATAATATAAAAAGTTATTTCATTTAATATAATATATATGTATTTTATATGTAAGATTTCAGTTTGTTTCATTTACATATCAAAATATGCAATTTATTACAAATGAAATATAACATTACATGTTTTTATTAAAATGACTTATTTAATACATAATACACAATATTAATTATTTAATGTATAAAGTAATAATGTTCAATGTTTTGAGCTTTGATGATAACCTTAAATAATAAATCATACATACATTATAAAAATATTAAACAATAAAAAGAAATTATTATCAAAATATGATTCGTTTTATAAATTACAATTAATAATATATTCAAGTATAAATTTAAAATTACAAAATTGCTTCAATTAATCTTTAAAATATAAAAATAAAATAAATATTTTATCTTATAGATATAAAATTATTTTTATATCTATAATTATTATATTTTACTTAGTAATATTAATGTTATTACTTAACATTAATTTTATTAATTTATGCCTTCTGAGATTAAATAATACAAGAAATGAAAGAAAATTGAAATCGATGTTAATGATATTCACATAACCTATAATTTTATATATTTTTTTAAGTTCATTTTTTCTACTATATGCGTAATATATAAGCATACCTTTTCATAAAATGCAATTATTTAATAATTAATAAGTAATAATCATATGAAAGATTATTGATGTTTTACTCAATAAATAATAATATTAGTTATGAAGATAGATCGGGTTAAATGCAATTGTTTGTTATTACGTCATACAATTTGATTTTATACAAAATAGTTAATAGATGAATTTAGTAAAAAAGGAATAATATCTAAAACAATATAAATATATTAAGCGAATCAAAACAATTTGAATGTCTCGGATGATAAAGGAGAAATCTGTATTCGTATATAAGTATTAGAGTATCGATGCTCTGAAACATATGATTCGTTTTAAGTTTTGGATAGAAGAAACAAAATGTCGTCTTGCACCATAATTAGTACTAGGACGAGGGATTCAAAGAGGAAGAGGGAATACATCTCACTGAGCGGGAAATACAATTGAAAGGCGGGATGAAAGGGGAAAGTAAGAGGAAGGGAGAAAGAAAAATAAGAGAAGGGGAGAAGCGATTGTACCAGAGGGCGGTTGACAACATGGATTTCGCCATAATGGTAATATTAATGATAATAAGAATAACAATGCACGCGGTTCTTCAGGAACTATATATCAATAGTTATTTATCAAAAATATTATAATACGCACAATAAAAGAACTGTATCTCGGTGAATACCGAAGAGCGTCCTCAATGCCGACATATTGGATTACAAAATAAAGCACGTTCGAAGATCCGGCGGGACATAATGCAAATTATGTTGTGTATTTATTGTGTTTGACAATAATCATTAAATGTTATATAAAATATAACATGATTATTATTGAAATATTAATTATATATAATTAAGAAATTCAAAGCATCCAAAGCACACGATATTGCATGGAGCTTCGGATACTTGTTCAGGTACTCACATGGCGACTGCGCAGTCACACCTATCACGTTTTCGAACACGCCGTAGACACTGTCACTACACGATTCCACTCTAAGTTTGACTAAACTTTTAATTATACACGTTTGAGTTTCATATATCATTAAAAAGCACTATAAGTGTTTTAAATAAAATTTTGTTAGACGTTGACGTCGCGTTTCGTAAGCAATTGTAGTTGCATTCGTTGCTGCTTCCCTGCTCCCACACGATCTGCCGAACCCCTCGCTTCTCTCAATTCTTCCTCCTCTCGTTACCCTTCTTCCTGTCTGCTCCCCTCCATTTCGATTCCTATAACCTCACCTCTCTCGTCGCCTATGATAAACTCGCTTGCTCATTGGTCCAGCGAGGACAAATCCCAGAGGCATCGTTTGCACCATGAAAGGCGGGGCCTTTGGATATGGTGGCTGCAGGCGCATGCCCCGTAACGGTACTCATACTCTTATTTCATATACTCTTACACTCTTCACTAATACTAATATATCATATAATGCATGTATACGTGATTATAGTCTGCAGAATATTTCGCAGTATAACTTCACGATACTATCAGGGACGCATCTACTCATATAATTCTCCCGATGCATTTTATAATATATATTCATTGTATTTTATCTTTAACAATATTAAAATTCTAAATAATAATGAACATTATATATTTTTTACATATATTCCCTATATAATTTTTTTGTAATCTTGTAAAAAGTAAAAATATTTTGTATTATTTTTTATATTGCTTTTTTTGATGTAGTTATTTTATATATCTTTCTCAGCATATGTAGCAGCAATTATAGCATATGTAAAAAACATAATATATTAATGTTACATAGTTTAATATATTTTAGTATATAAAATACCTGAATTAAAATGTTTTTGTACTTTGCAGATATTTTTTTATTTTTATATATTTTAAAATATATATAAGTTTTCAATCATTCTTAAATGTATTAAATGTATTGAGTATTTAAATGTTTAGCTTTATAATTCATTGGAATTATTATTAATAATTTGTATTAATTACATAATATTATAATATAATTAATTAGAATGTAAAAGTTTTGAAATTTAATAAAATTTTTATAATATAATAAAATGAATAATATAAAACAAAACAAACAAACGCATATGCATATTTATATATTTAGATATTTATATAATTATATTTAAAACTAATTAAATTTATATAAATAAAATTTTTGTAAATTTTTTAGTTTCTGATATTCTTTGATCCGAATTCGTGAATATACGCTACTGGCACAGCTGTTTCTAAGTTGAGCTTCATACTGTCCTGTTCAAAACCATGTAATGCAATTTCATTTATCTTTCCTTTCGTTGATTTTATATAAAAAATATTTATTTGGAAAAATCATTATATATTTTAATTAAAAGAAAAAAATTTATTGAATCAAGCATATGAATAATATATTATTTTGAATATGCTGAAATTATAATTTGTGATTTGCTGTAATATGTATTATAAAGTTTTAATATTAATTTATGTTAGAGATTTTCTTTATTATTAATTAGATTTTATCCAATTGCATATTTCCTGATGTTTTAATTATCATCAATTAATATCATCTATTTTGTATAAATATTTTTTTTTCAATGTTGCTTGTTATATAAAGTTTTAAAAATCTCTATTAATACATATATTTTAAAAAAAAAAATTCTTAATCATCTAAATGCAAAACAAAAAAGTTTAAAGTTTTTACATAAAATGTAAAATAAAGCCAATCGGCCAATATTGGTCATTTTTTGATATCACTCATAAATTTCGACAAAGAGCGAGAAAGTAGAATGTTTCGTGCAGAGGGTAGTAGTCGCGCCAATTCCAGCTATCACGACCCTATGGTGGCATGCTACATATACAACTGTATATTCGCTTATGTAATTGTATGAGTTGAATGAAACAGCGACAGTCTATAGTCCTGTTCACGCAAGGTTAGGAAAATTACGATATTCCGTAAAGGAGTGTGGTTACGTGTGTAGTTTGTTGTTCGACCGATAGAGCATGCAAAGAGAAAGTGGGGGAAAGCGACAGCCAATGGTTTAGGTCGACTAGGGTTGCCAAGGTAACAAGTTAATGATTCGAGCCGCCACTGAGAAATTAGCTTTACTCGTTGGTGATGTCGCGCATGCGTCCTTCTTTAGAAATTTGTATCCTACGTTTCAATATAGCAACATTTCACATCTATATCAACGTTCTTTTATATATATATATATATATATAAAATGTGTGTATATATATATATATATATATATATATAATTCGTAGTCGGTTTTCTCTGTAGTTTCTCTGTACACAGATACGATTATACATATATATATATATGTCGAGCGAGATAGTGTCCTATTCTTTATACAAGTGAAGACACACAAGTAAATTGAGTTCGTTTGTATACATTGAAATATAGAATGTATTAGTCATCGCGACGATTGGTTCTCTTCCCACTCCAATCTCTTATTAGCTTTTCTGTTTCTCATTCGCGTTTTCCTCTTTCTTCTTACTCCAATAGATTTGCATCTCTGTTAGTCAATTCGTCCTCTTTTTCCTTTATCTTCTCTCTTTGTTCTTTCGACCCCTCCACCCCTGACCTTATTTTCCCCACTGCTCTGTACAATTGTAATTCTACCACGCATCGTCGCGAATCCTCTTGAACGATTGGGGGGCGGGGAGGGGATTGTTCATAAGGAGAAGGGGAGTTACCCATCAACATTCATCGTGGATTATAATATTCGATGTCCGTCGATCAGGCATCAGAGTCGAATTAGCTAGTAGAAAATGGAAGCAACCCAAGGCCCATAATTATGCCACGCCTGGTTTTTACATATTGATATGATCATTTGATAATTATGAAATTTGCCTCACTTTTTATTTCTTACTTTTCTATTTTTCAATTTCTTAAGTTGTTTTAGATTCTTATTTTTAATTAATATGCAACTTCTTTCATATTATATATATATAATATATAATTTACGAATAATATTAATGTAAATAATATATAATTTAATTTATATAAATTTAAATATATGAAAAAATAATTTTAAATAAAATAATTTTTAATAGCAAAATAATTACAATTCATACATTTTTCGCATATAAAATATTTAATATGATATTTAAAAGATATATTTAAATATATAAATTTATATTTAAAACATTAATTGAATAATGATATTCAAAAATCGATTCAATCTTTCATGGATATTTATATCAATTGAATTTTTGTTTAAATTTTTTATCAATTGAATGTTACAGAAATATTATATTTTAATTAAATATTACTAAAAATTAATGAGTTTAGTTATTGTCAACAAAAATATTTGTTACAATATTTATCCAATTAATAAGAGTACAATTAAGAAATAATTTTATAATATAAATTAAAGAAACGATTTTCTTTATATATTTCATCGAAATAAATCGAATAATAATCACATCAAAATCAAATTTACTATTATATATATTCCATCGAAAGTAATAAATGCGCAAAATATTGAAAAAGATTCGTATTTTCTCAACGAACAGATCTTTTTACAAATAAAAGAAAAAAAATATTAATAATATATTCGTGAATTTGAATCGATCGCAGATCTTTTACAGAAGAATATGAGTTTTCAAACGCTGCTTCGGAGATTTCGACATACCTCAAGAGTTCAGTTTTTCTCTACAAAACCGGACTTCACATCGGATAGATACAAAATAGAAAGAGGATTGTATGCAAATATTTGCAATGATCACGTGGTATTTTTCAATAACTTGCTTGGACAAAACAGAGTTATCACAGATGCAGAAGAATGTGAGGGATATAATATAGATTACTCAAAAATTGTTAGAGGTAAGTAAAAATGTGTGAAAATGCTTTTTCTTGATCTTTCGAATTTTCTTGTGGAAATTGCTTAAAGTCAAATTTACTTTTTATAATACTATAATACTATTATATATATTTTATATTTATAATAATATAATACTATATACTATTATAATATTAATAATTTCGATATTATGATTGAATATAATTATTTTATGATTAATAAAATAAATAAGTTATTAAATTTTTGTAATGAATTGATAAATATTATGAATCAAGAAAAAAATGAATTTATGAGTAGTATAAGTAATTATGAATAAATAAATAAGTAAATTACTAGCATTGAATTAATTTACTTATAGGAAAAGGCAAAATTGTATTGAAACCGAAAACTACCAACGAAATATCTGCCATATTAAAATATTGTAACGAAAATCGTTTAGCTGTATGTCCTCAGAGTGGAAATACAGGTCTTGTTGGCGGTAGTGTGCCAGTTTTTGATGAAATTGTTATTTCTATGAAACTTATGAATAAAATTATTGAAACTAATGAACTAGCAGGTTTGTAAAAATTGAAATTAGAAGCATTGATATATAAATATTCAAAAAGAATGTGAGAAATTAAAGTTTTTGGAAAAAATATAATTATTTGATACAGCAATTTTAGAAAAACATTTAGAAAAACATTTTGAAAAAACATTCTATTTTACGATTATTCGCTTTAGGAGTACTGACTTGTGAAGCTGGCTGCGTGCTCGAAGACTTGGAAAATCATTTAGCGACAGTAGGTTTAATGATGCCGATTGATCTTGGCGCTAAAGGTAGTTGTCTGATCGGTGGCTGCGTATCTACAAATGCCGGTGGTTTAAGACTTCTTCGTTATGGTAATCTTCATGGAAACATTTTGGGTCTCGAAGCTGTAAGTTTTTATTAATAAATCGTTTTTTTTTATCACATATGTAATCATATTATTTTAGGTAAAAGCAAATGGAAGTGTAGTAGATTGTTTAAATACACTGAAAAAAAATAATACCGGTTATCATCTAAAACATTTATTTATCGGATCTGAGGGAACGCTAGGAATTGTAACGAAAGTCGCAATTCAATGTCCACCTCTTCCTGCAGCCATCAACGTTGCGTTTTTAGGTATTACAGATTCTCGATTATTTTTTTTATATTGCCATATAAAATTTCGTTATTTATCGTAGGACTAAACAATTTTGACAAAGTATTGAAAGCGTTTCGTCTAGCGAAAAAAGAATTGGGAGAAATTCTATCTTCATTCGAAATGATGGACAAATTATCATTAGATGTTTCCATTGAAGCTTTTGGTTTAAAAAATCCATTAACAACAAAAATCAACGGCCATGACTTTTATGTGTTATTGGAAACTTCTGGTAGCAACGTAAATCACGATGAAGAAAAGCTTACCTCTTTTGTGGAAAAAGCGCTTGCCGACAATATCATTGAAGACGGTACTTTGACTTCTGATCCTACCAAAGTTAAAGTTAGTATTTTTTTTTTTTGATGTGACATATATTTAATTATTTTTTTTTTCGCTTTTTTTTTCTTTTTTATTCGGTTTTTCTTATATATATATATAAAATTTACATTATTGGTATGTGCGTTTTTTTATCTTTAATTAAAAATTGATATTTTAAATTTTATATTTTAATAAATTATTTTCTGGAAAAAATTTAAAAATTTAGTAAAAATGAAAAAAATATAAATTTATTTCTTGCATAGAATATATGGGCATTAAGGGAACGTATTAGCGAAGGAATATTACGAGAAGGTTATGTTTTTAAGTATGATATTTCGATACCTCTTCCTTCTTTTTATAAAGTGATTGAAGTACTTAGAGAACGTTTACGTGATCCACGTATTATAAGAATCAGTGGTTACGGACATTTAGGTAGGTCTATAAACTCAAATATTATTAAATATTTCTATTTTTTTCTACTTAAAATTGAATAGTTTAAAAATTATTTTGTGCAATTTATAATAATTTTATTTATAATTTATATTTTTATCTATTTTTTGTCTATTAGGCGATGGAAACATTCATGTACAAGTTTCGATACCATCATACGAACCTGATATAGCATCACAGTTACAACCTTTCATTTTCGAATATGTATCTAAACTTCGTGGTAGTGTAAGTGCTGAACATGGTATAGGATTCACAAAAACAAAATATTTGCATATGAGTAGAACTTCTTCGGAAATTGAACTCATGCACGAATTGAAAAAAATGATGGATCCAAATGGTATACTCAATCCGTATAAAGTATTGTATCCACTATAAACTCATATAATGATTAGAATAATACTACATATTAATAATAACAGAAGTACAATCCAAGCATTCCTGTACTTATGTTTAAATTTAATAATATAATAGAGAATATATTGTAAATAATATATCATAAATAATATATATATATAATATTTATAGTAATATAATTTAAATAAAAAGAGAAATGTAATATGTATCAGATAAAAAAATATTTATATAAAATTTATAATACTTTTTTATTATTTAATTCTCTTTATTATAATTATTATTTTTATATATTTTTATTTATTAGTAATTTTATTCATTTATTTTTTATATTTTTTTTAATCATAAAAAAATAATTAATTTTTTTATTTTTATTTTTATTTTTATCTTAAAAAAATAATTAAAAAGATTTTATTTTCGCGCTTACAAACTGCGCATGCTCATAAAGGACATATGAATTCGCATTTACCATTGAATGGTAAAGAAAAAGATTACATTCTGTTATATCGATTCTGTAATTTTTATAATTATATTGGCAATGAATACTCACATGTGTTCAGAGAGTTCACTACCGTCCAGTCAACTAATATCTTTTAACCTATATTTATTTTTAGATAAAAAATCGAATTCTTTATTACATAAATTTATAAATTCTAAAATAATAATATGATTTAAATTCATTCATGATTAATTACAAATATTTAAGTAAAAGTAAAATTAAATATCATTAATTTGAAATTTCATAAAATTTTTTTTTAAATTGCTATAATTATTAAAATAAGAAATATTTATAAAAGTATTATAAATAATAATGATAATATAATATATATCATAATATAATATAATATATATAACATAATATAATATAATATAAAATAATATAATATAATATAATATAATGTACCAAAAAAGTTACAACCTTTCATTTTCGTGAATGTTTGTGTAACGTTTGAAGTATCAAGCAATATTATACAATATAAAAATTATTTTTCTTATAAATTAAATTAAACAAATATTTATTATATGTAAAGATATAAATTTTAAAGTTATTCAAAAAAATTTATTAAAGTAACTAACTTATATATATATTTAATTAAACTAACTATTAAACTAATCAAAAATATATTAAAATATAATTAAACATTATCTATAATTAAATATTAATATATAATAAAAAATAAATATATGTATATATATATATATATATAGAAAAATTATATAAATAAATTATATAAAGATAAATAAATATATAGAATCAAATTATGTATTTTAAATCATATTAAAAATATCGAAAGAAATTACTCGAATTGACGAGAAATCGTCATATGATTGTATAATCGTAAGAAAATATCGATTAGTCGCAATACGATTGCTAGTAAATTCGAGTAGGAGTTTCGAGATTCGAGAAAATTCGAAACGATATACATATGCACTAGTTATCTCGAACAATCTCGAAAAGCGCGCCATATCAAATATAAATCCGTGACAGGTAGTACTGCGCAGTCAGTTAAAAAGTGCAACTCAAAGTGAACGTTTGTGTAACGTTTGAAGTATCTACCAAGCAATATTATACAATATATACAATACAATATTTCATTTGTAAAACGAATTAAAAGATTTTTAACAAAAGGTATGTATTTTTATTCTATGTAATTTTTTTGATTATTAAAAAATTTTAAAGCACAATTTCATTAGCAGTCCATTTCCTTTGATTTTTATTTTATTATTTTTAATTGAATATTAATTTTATTTAAATTTTATTATTTATTTTTATAATTAAAAAAAAATTTCATAATTAATATATATCAATGCAACATTGGTATAATGTTTTATGAATACGTTTCATGTATCTAAGAATAGACATTTGAAATGCGTAAAAGCATAATACTGTGCATCTCATATTGCATAGTTTGTATAATTATTTTATGTGTGATGTGAATGTTAAATGAATAACATATTTTTTTTTTAGTTAAATATAAAGATTTTATTTCTTTACGTTATACTAACGTTATCGACAACGTTTTGTCAACACTTTTTTTTATATATATATTTACATTAATTTCAAATTCACTATTATTATTTCATCATTATTTTTTCTATTGAATTGATTTTTTGTAGTGAACATTTTTTTAAATTTTTATAAATTTTAGTATAATATATTAATTTGAAATTACAATTTTTGTTAATACGTATTATTAATTCTTTCACATATTAATTCTTTTACATATTTAACTCTTGCAGATTAACTGTATTGATATGGCACTAGTAACGAGAGATCTTTTCCGTAATTGGTGGGAAGATATGGACCGTTATCATCGAGAATTAGAAGAACATTTTAAACGTCTCAGTACTAGAGATGATTTTTGGAAACCACCACCAATGCCATCCTTCAATGAATTTTTCCAACCATGGAGGAATATGATGGAACAATTGGAACATCAAGTTGGAGGTTCAACCACCATTGAACGAGATCAAAACAAATATCAGGTAATTGTCGATGTGCAACAATTTGCACCAGAAGAAATCACCGTCAGAACGGATGATAAATGTATTACCATTGAGGGGAAACACGAAGAGAAAAAAGATGAACATGGTTACGTATCAAGACATTTTGTGCGTCGATATATGCTTCCACAAGGATATGATATTGGCCACGTTAAACCAAGTTTGTCATCTGATGGTATTCTTACTATTACTGCTCCAAGATTAGCTCTGCCAGCACCTGGAGAAAGAATTATACCGATCGAACGAAGTAATGCACCAGCTATTAAGGCAGCATAATTTGTAAATAATATCATTTAATAGACTCTTATATATTTAAGATTCATTATATACAATTTATTTTATAACTTTTCTTTCTGCATACTTCGAAATTCGTTCGTTTATATTAATTTAATTGTCAATAACAAATAATCATATATATATATATATATATATATATATATATATATATATAGAATTGATAATTTAATTACATTATTTTAATTCCTTAGATATATAAAATTATATATGTTCAAAAAATTTAAAAAAAAGATATTGAAGTTTGATCATTTTTATACACTAAATTATTCTTTTTATTTGCACTATTAAAATTGTTTAATATAAATATTTCTAACATTGTATGATGAAATTTTGTAAAATTCAGTTATACAATATTTTATTATTGTCATTATATTATAAACATATGTTATTGTAAGTACTTTTTATTAGTTTTATTTTTCAATAAATAAAGATTAAATATTAAAATGATATACTTTTTTTTAAAACTAATTTATAACAAAATATATTTAAAAAATATATTTTAATAATATAAAATATTTACAAAACATATAATGCGCTGAGCAGTATATTTATCAAGATTTATATTTTTTTTTTAAATATGCAACTTTATATTATGTTATTTTTATGTTATTTTAATATCAATAAAAAAGATAGCATTTTCGTAATTAATCATTCGTAAATAATCTAAATTTCGAATAACATATTTAAATAATTATTTATGTATTATATATAATATGTTCGATTTTTATGATGGACCTCGATTTTCTTCACTCTCTGAAAATGGTTGTTCATCTTGATCCTGAGGCGATATTAATTCTAGATTTGTCTCTTCCAAAGGAATCATACCTTGTCTAGCTTTTTCTTCTATACTAGGAATATATTCATAAATTTGTTTTTCAACATCTATTTTATTTAAAAGAATTTGTAAACGTCTTTTAAGCGGTCCCTCGATTGCATCCATTATTTGATATCTATAAAAAAAATTATTCTTTCTTATATAACATTATATTATGAATCATGTAAAATTATTGATTGTAGAAGTAAAAAAACATTGAGATCGAACCTTAAAAGATTTGGTAATATATTAATGCTTGCTTCAACTAAATAATCAATAGTACCAGCTCCATGAATTCTTGTTTGGATATTACCCAATTCAAGTTCGAGTTCTTCCATACTTGGCCTTTTACGAGTATCTAAAGGTTGGCTTAAATTTACTTGAGCTCTGAAATATTGTACAGTAAAGGAAACTGTACCGGCCCTAGACAAAAAGCCACCGATTACACTTATTTCCCAATGTGTTTTTCCTTCAATTTCTTGAGTACCAGCATCAACTGTCGCATATACCTTTAAATGGAAACAAAAACAGAATATTTAGAGAATGTGTTATGTAACAATGTCTACAAGTAGATGACAAAATAGGCAACAATTGTAAAGTATGATTAAAATTCATTAGTTAGTGTATTTTCTATTTATAATGTATACGACGTAATTATGATAATCGGTATATATCTTGTATTAATGTATATTACATGTATATGTTGCAAGCGATCATAATAGAAAAAAACTTGAAATTAAATAAATTATGTTTTGAAAATTATTAATAAATTATTTACCGTTCCATTTTCTATACCCAAAGTAACATTTCCTATTCGATAAATGCTTGCCAGACCGGTGATCCAAGTATGAGTCGACGTCACCGTAAATATACCAACAGTTTGACTGTAGTCATTCACTTTGAACGGATCGTAGCCCATTTGAGATATATACTTACGAAGTTCGGCTATTGCCATATCAAAAGGCGATATAGAATTCGGAAAATATTGCGGTAATTGTGAAATTTGTTTATTAGCTATACCTCTGAAAAATAAGACAGTTTTTAAATGATTTTGTATATTATATATAATAATATCAAATTAAATGATTTCTACCGTGCTTTAGTATTTAATTCCTTCAATATGAAAGGTTTAATACTATCGAAAATAAAGGAGCCTACAGAATTAATCGTACTTTGTAATACAGAACCCAAGAAACCCAAATTTTTGAAATCCATGGCTACATTTTCGAATGTCAAATCCATATCGATATTTTGTGCTTGTAATTTACCATCACTAGCAACTTCGAGCCTCCCAATCCCTTTTACATTCACTCCCATCAATTTCATTGTAAAATTACCAGCTGATCGAGACAGCCAAGAAGATAAAGTATAAAATCCACGAATATCCAGACTTTCTATATTTAATGTCACTGAAACCTTCGAGAAATATGTTAGAATAAAAATTAATTTTAATACTTAGATCTTATACGATTATAATAATGTTTGATAAAATATCTTATGTGTATCAATTTAAATAATAAGGAATCTAAAAGTAATATGAGTATTATAATTAATCATTGATGCGAAACATTCTATATTATAATTAATATATTCATATAATTAGTAATATCTTTTGTAATGATAGATGTTTTTAAACATTAAAATAATAGATATCTTTTTTAAAAATATTGACGCATAACTGTTCTTTAAACAAATTCTATAAACTAATTGATGGAGATAAGTCTAGGAATATAAGTCTAAGAAAAAGATATTTATTTTTTCTAATTTCAATTATGTTGATCAATATTTAATATTTCAATTTGTAAACTTAAGAATTTTATATTAAATATATAAAAAATTCAAATGTTGAAAATATCTCACTTGCATCAATGCTAATTCTGATTCTGCATTTACTATCCGAAATTTGGATAAACCATAAATGTTCATTTGCTTAAAATTCATGGTATACATAGAAAATGAATACTTCATATCCGGTGCTGACATAGGATCCGGTATTGGCGCTCCAGGTAATCCTACTGGATCATTTTGCTGATAATGCTTCAAAATCGCGCGAACATGATCTTCAAGTCGTTTTTCGCCAAGTATTATTTGTGCTGCGGTATCATTTTTTACTAGAAAATATTATCATTTGAATATTGAACTAAATAATATTATTAAATATATTATTTATTATTGTTATATAAGAGAAATTACATTTTATCATATCAATCATATCATATCATTTGATCATATCAAAAAATCGCATTAAAGTATCAATTGTACATATCCATTGAATTAAAAATCAATCACAATGTAATTTTATAACATCATATCATAGAAGTTTTAATTTAAAAAAAAATTTTAATTTAAGTAAATATAAAATTACTTACCGGTAGAAATTTTAATATCACATTGAGCGATCTTGATAAAATAAAAAAGAACAAGAAATAATTTTGAAATCTTCATTTCCAGTTTTATCGATCGCAACAAATCAGTATGATCTATAGAAGAGACCACGCATTCGACTGGGAGGTGCGTCAGTGAATTTAGTTGAATGATATCTCTCGGGTCATTGAAGGGGCGAGGGTCAACCGCTTTATCTAATTCCCCTTGCCTCTCACTTATTCTTGCGTTGTTTCCTCCTTAACCTCCCCTTAATCACTTTAATAATATATATATATATATATATATATATATATATATTAACGTATATATAATAAAAATTTTATTTACATTGTAAACATAAGTAAATTTAAAAAAAAAAATACAATTAAACATTCTGCGAATTTATTTAAAAAGAATCGATTTTATGCGCTTGAAATGCGCATAAAAAATCTTATTTCAAAAATAGAAATAAAGTAATAGTAATAAATACAAATTATTCATTTCTAATTATTTGAATTTATTTTTCTTTTTTACTTTAACTCATACTTATGATTAATTTGAGAATCTTAAAAAATTGTCTTGTTTAAATTTTGTAATATAGAATGCAAATACTTCCAATGGCCTATGGATTTTAGAATAATTAAGAATAATAAAAGAATTATTAGGATATTTGTTCTTATTATTAATGAAAATTTTATTACAATAAGAAACAGGAATAATTTATGAAAAAATAATAAACAAAAATAAGATATAAAATAAAAATTCAAAATAATTAAGATTCAAGAATAATGATGAAATTATTTAATTTATAATTATTTATCTTATATTATTTGTTTTTTCTATTTTATAATTAAGAAAATGAATAAAAAAATTTTTTTTTAACTTTGTATTATGTTTTTTCAAGTCTTTAAATTTAGTTATTTTACAGGTCGAATTTTGTTTATTATTTATTTATTTTGTTAGATTTTATAATTTTATAAATTAAAATTGATAATTTATTGTTTATTTATCCGATCATTTCTATTTTATCCAATCAAGTCAAATTAAATCATAAGAAATATGAAGTTAGTTGTTAATATTTTTTTTTATATCCAATGATATTAGATTTGATTGATTTTGGAACATTTCAGTTGGTATTACTAATCAGTGTTGCATCGTATTTGTAGTTTTGAACAAGTTTGAATTTATAGAATTTAACGTATTATTCCATTGTTGTGTATCGCTTTCTGTTTTTATTCGTTTATTATATATTCTTATTAATTAATATGAGTATTGTCAATGAGCAATTAATTAATCATGAAAAAGGTAAGATTAATGACTCGTTTGGATACTTTTACTCTGCATTTTTACCTAATATATGGCACATTGAAAGTTTGATGTTATATGAATGTTGTATGAAATATTAAATGTTAATGTAGAATATATGTATATATATTTAGATTTTCATTATTTAGAAAATAAAGTTTTACAGGAACAGATATTCGTAAATCAGCAGAGGAAATGGATGAACAGCGTCATAAGACAGTTGCTTATGAATATCTCTGTCATTTAGAAGAAGCTAAAAAGTAAATATCTAATAAATTTATCATAAACTAATATCGTTCTTTTTAATTATTATTTTTTAATATTTTCTAAATCTTATAGATGGATGGAAGCTTGTCTTAGAGAAACACTTCCATCAACAACTGAACTAGAAGAAAATTTAAGAAATGGAGTATATTTAGCTAAACTTGCTCATTTTATGGCACCTGAATCTTTGCCTATTCACAAAATATATGATCCTGAACAAAAACGTTATACAGCAATTGGTTTACAATTTAGACATACAGATAATATTAATTATTTTCTAAAAGCCTTAAAATCTATGCAATTACCATTAGTATGTGTTTGTAATATAAAACATAAAATATTTTCTATTTGTTTAAATAAATTGTTAAAAATAATAAAATTAATTTTCTAATAGACTTTTCAACCAGAAACAACAGATATTTATGATAAAAAAAATATGCCTCGTGTAATATATTGTATTCATGCTCTGAGTACTCATTTATTTAAGCTGGGTAAAGCTCCACAAATTCAAGATTTATATGGAAAAGTGAATTTTACTGGTATTAGTTTTATTTTATTTTATTTTATTTTACTTTATATAAAAATATGTAGATTAATTATAATTGTAGCATTTTATTCTCTTTAGAGGAAGAAATAAATATAGTCAGTAAAGAATTAAAAAAATATGGAATACAAATGCCTTCATTTCAAAAAATTGGTGGTTTATTAACAAATAGCATGGAGATTGATGCAGTAACACTTCATGCTGCAATAATAGCTATTAATCAAGCTATTATAGAAAAGGTATAAATATCATATTTTTAAAATGCTTCAAATAACAATTTAAATAATAATATTTAAATTTTATATTTCAAGAATAATGATAAAATATTGACTACACTTCAAAATAAAGTAGTACAATTAAAAAATATTATGTCATGTTATATTAAGAAATATAGTGATACTTTATTTGAAGCAAAGGAATCTAAAATACAAGCTGCTCTTAATAGAGTAAGTAATAATATTTTTTTTAAATTATTTTTATTTATATTTTCTATCGGCATTAATAAATATAATTTTAACAGTCTCTTAATGATAGTTATGTACCAGATATATATGATGAATTGTTGACTCAGGTAGAAATTCAGGGTCATATTAATTACGTTAATAGTAAGTAATTCACAATTATTATTTTTCATTCTAAAAGTCAATTTCCATAAAATATTTCTTTCTAATAGAAATATTTTTTTTAATTATATATATATATATTTTTTAGTTCATTGTGCCATGGAAGATATAATTCAATCTATTCATTCTAAAAATAATGATTTTATGGATAAATTAAAAATATCTACATTGTGTTTAAAAGTATATTTTATTCCAATTTTTACTAATAATCTTTCTTATAATTTTCTTATTTATGAATATTATTTTTTTTTTGATTTGATTTTTTTGTTAGAATATTATTGATGAGAATGCACAATTATATAAAGAACAATTAATGCAATTATTAGAAAGTTCTGAATGGAACAATATATATTCAGAGAGTAATCAGCATCATTGGAAACAACTACTTCAAAAGAAAATTGATGAAGTAAATAAAATGGCATTTAAATCTCAAAAACGTTAGTATTATATGTTATAAAGATTATATTTTCAAATATTTTATATTAAATTACTAAATATTTTTTTTTAATTCAGGAGATGAAAGTATAAAGTTTTTAAATTTAACATTACAAAATAACACACGAAATGATTTCTCTAAAGCTTTAAAAAATCCAGATCTAGGATTAATGGACAAAATTGATGATTTTGCAATACCATTATATTATGAAGAAATGAGAGCTGATTGCATTGAATCTCAGGTAAACATGAAATTTGCAAAATATAAAATTATAATTTATAGAAATTTCTATTATAATATATATATAATTTCTATATATAAATAATATTTTTTTAGAATATTCTTTCATATAATGATATTAAGGTCAGTATTCGAGTTTTATCATCGATTGCAAAAATTACTAAAGCTATAGACACGGGTAATCCAGATTTAGTTTACCAAGCATTAACAAATCCAGATTGTCATTTTTCTGTGAGTTTATTTTTTTATATATATAATATTTTATATATTTTTTTATAGAAATAATTGAAAAGTTATTTTTCTATTTAATATATATTTCTAATATTTTAGGAAATAGATCAAGAAAATAAGGTAAAATATTATAGAATATTAGTAACAGCTCGATGTAAAAAGCAAAATGAAGAATGTCCTGTATTAACATATATTGATATTCAAGATTGCATTGATATTGTCAACCAACAATGTCAAAATGATGATCAAGGTATATAACTTATCTATTACTATAATTATATATATTTTTACTCACATATTTTTAATTTTGTATTATTTTAACAGTAATACAAGTGTTACGTCAATTAAACTTAAGTATTGTAGAAAATGATCGAAATAATGTCATAGCTGCTTTAAAAGATAGTGCATTAAAATTACAAAAAGATACTTCAGCTACTTTGCCAAAAGATGCATCTCTTTATTTGAAATTATTTAAAAAATGTCTTAAAGAAAAACATTCTGATGGTTCTGAATTATGGCTGGAAGATGTAGAAAATATAACAAGAATTGTTGTCTCAGAATCTGAAAATGTTCAAAATGGTATAATTCATACATTTTGTTCATTTATTATCAAACTATAATTTTAATAATAAGCTTTATATTTTTACAGTTTGCACATTTTTATCACAAGTTAATTTAGGATTAAAACAAAATAATATGTTATTCACAATCGATTGTATTCGAGCATTTGGTTTTACAATACCAGAAAAATACAAAACAGAATGTTTTAAAAGTTTATACAATTTAAAAAATACTAAGGTATAATTTAAAATAAATTATATATTAATATTATTTAATTTAATTCTATTTTATATTTTAGGAAAAAAATTATAATTGTGCATTTGTTTATTATATTACTCCTAATAATAATGAATCATATCTAGATTTGCAGAAGTACAATTACACCTGGGACTGTCCCAAAAATATGTCTGAAACATTTTATATTAATATGGAAGATATAAAAGTACTGTGTAATTAAAAAATTTAAACTAATTTAAATAAAAAAAAAATTATTTATTAATTTATTATAAGTATTAATAAATATATTAATTGCCTATTTTTAGGAAATAATAAAAAATACTATAATAAGAGAACATGAAGAGCATAAAATAAGTAAAAAGATAATTCGATTTCAAGCTTATATTCGTGGATATTTATTAAGAAAAAAAATTTCTGATAGATTTACATATTTTTACGATAATATAGATAAAATTATTAAAATACAAGCTTGGTGGAGAAGTATAATACAACAAAAACGATATATGAAATTATTAGAAGAGAAAAGAAAATTTAATGAAAAAGAATTTCAAAATACATATTTGGAAGTGAAAGCTAAATATATAAATGTATTGGATTATTATAAAGAACAAGTAAGTAAAATAATATTTTTCTTTTTTTATTTGAGATTTATGCACGATGAAACAAGAATTTTATTGATTTACTTATACATTATACTTTTTAGGAAGAAAAAATTATAAAAATACAGGCCATGTGGCGTGGTCGTGCTGAAAGACGCGCTTTCCATTCATTATTATATATGGAAAAACCACCATTTCCTGTTGTTCGTCATTTTTCCGCGATTCTAAATTTTAATGCGGAAGATTATGACAAAGATTTACAGTTACAAGTATATAAATTTTTAGTAAATTTTAAACAAGATTTTAATTATTGATATTTTATTATGAATTTATTATTACAGCATTTAAAACACGAAGTTGTACAAAGTATACGACATAATCAGATATTATCACAACAATTAGATAGTATGGATATAAAAATTGGCTTACTTATACAAAATAGAATTACGTTGCAAGTAATGATTAAAATAAAAAATATATATATTGTGTCTGCTAATATATAGCTAAAGATATATTTAAAAAGTTAAAAATTTTAGGATGTTGTAGCTCATGGAAAAAGCTTAGAAACACTTGCAAAGCAAAAACATTCCAATAGGGAGCAACGAAGTTCTTTATCAGATGGTATTAATTCACATAAAGGTTTAAAATCATTAACTAAAGAAGGTCGAAAAATGTTGGAAGGTTATCAACATTTATTTTATGCTTTACAAACTAATCCAACATACTTATCAAAACTTTTGTTTCTTTTACCTCAAAGTAAAACAAATAAATTTCTTCAAAATGTAATTTTAACATTATTTAATTTCGGATCAAATATTAGAGAAGAATATTTATTGTTAAAATTATTTGGGAGTGCATTAAAAGAAGAAATCAGGTATAATTATTATTACATAAAAAAATAAAATAAGAACATAAAATAATAATTATAATTCAATAGGTGTAAGTTTCAAAAACCATCTGAAGTTGTTACCGGAAATCCTCTTGTTTTAAAAATGGTAGTGAATTATGCGCGGCAATTAAATGGTCAAAGAGCTTTAAGACAAATTGTTGGACCAATTATTGAAAAAATTTTAGCTGATAGAACATTAAATATAGAAACAAATCCTATTGATATTTATAAATGTTGGCGAAATCAATTAGAAATGGAAACAGGAGAAACATTGTAAGTTTAAAACAAGTATTATAAATCTTATTAAATATTATATTTTTTTATAATTTTTTTTTTTTTATTTTTTTTTTTTAATTTTTTTTTTTTTTTTTTTTTTGACAGAAATTTGCCTTATACGGTAACACAAGAACAAGCTTTAAATTATGAACAAGTACGAATTAGACTAAATAAGGGAATACAATTATTGCAAAGTACTGTTTTAGAATTTTTAACTAAAATAACTGAATCAAGAGATTTAATACCATATGGAATGTTATATATGGCTAAAATTTTAAATGATTCTTTAACTGAAAAATTCCCAAATGCCCCAGAAAAAGATATTTTAAAAGTAGTGGGAAATTTGATTTATTATCATTTCATAAATGCAGCTATTGTAGCTCCAGATGCTTTTGATATAATTACATTACCTATTGATAGATCATTATCAAATGATCAACGAAGAAATTTAGCTAGTATTGCAAAAATTTTACAATTTGCTGCTTCTAAAAAAGGAGTAATTATATTTTTTGCAATATTTATAATATCTAAAATTATAAAATAAAAAGCATTATATATATATTTTTTTATAGTTTGGTGAAGAGGCTACACATTTAGTCTGTTTAAATCCATTTATAATTGAATGTCATGAAAAATTTAAAAGTTTTTTTCGTTACTGTTGTCAAATTGAAGATTTAGAAGAACATTTTTGTATTCACGAATATACAGAAGCCACACTCATTCAAAAACCTGAAATTTATATTTCACTACAAGTAAGCAAAATTTTAATGACTATAAATTTTTTATTATTATTATATTTATATTATTATTATTATTATTTTATTAATTTATATATATAATATAATAATATATAATTATATTATAATATAATATATATAATTATAATATAATAATATAATAATTTATATATATTTTTTATTAATTTATATTATTATTATTAATATTTTATATTATTATATTTATTTATGTTAATTATAGGAAATTTGTGATACTCATTGCCTCATGTTAGAATATCAAGATCAAATAGCACCAGATCCATTAGATTCCTTGCATGATTTATTGGATGATTTAGGTCCTGCACCAACTGTTGCTTCTTTACTTGGGATCTGTAAGAAATAATTTATTATTACATTATATTTCATTTAACATAATTTCATTAAAATTATTCATTAGCTGATAGTATATGCGAGACAAATTTAATGCGCTTTGGGAAAACAGAAGTATGTCTCGTACTTACTAATAAATTTCAAATACCAGAAGATGAAGATGTTAGTCTAAACAAACTTTTTATAAAAACGAAAGAATTATTAGTTTCTGTACTACAATTTTTGAAAGGTCAAACATTAGTTGAAGCTTTAGAAACTATATGTTCTCCTATACAAGAAAAATTATATGATGTAAAGTGCTCCAGTTTATCACCTACTTTAAATATCATTCATAAAAGGTATTATAATGAAATAAATTATTAGTTAAATAAATAAAAGAGAAATAAAAATTTATTTACAGTTCGTCCTTAAATGATTGTAAACTTCAGTTACGAGCGTATCTTAATAAACTTGAACTTGGCGGATGGGTCAGTCAAATAGATGGATATCAAAATATTATAACTGCAGTGGCCAAAGATCTTTGTAACAAAGGAAAATATCGAATAATACGAAATAAAGAATTACAGACATTACGTACAACTAAACAAAGATTAGAAGAAAAATGTAAATATTATCAAGAACAAGTAGAATATTATAATGAATATATACAACGTTGTTTGGAAAATTTACACACCGGAAAAGGGTATGTAATATAATTTTTTCTATTACATTTTATATTTTTAACATATTTAAATTTTTTACATAGATCATTACAAGCATTTAAAGCTATTCAAAAAAATAATCATGTTAAATTAAGATCTAAAATGACATTAAAATATTCTGCATCCAAATTACAAGAAAAAGGAGTATTATTAGAAGTTGATGGACTTCCCCAATCACAATTTAAAAATGTAATTTTCGAAATAAGTCCAACAGAACATACCGGTCTTTTTAGCGTACGTTGCAAATTTATGGGAGTAGAAATGGAAAAAGTTGATATCGATATACAAAAGTTACTTGAATTACAATTCGAAGGTGCACCAATTATGGATATGTTTGGAAAAGCAAAAATTAATGTAAATTTATTGTTATATTTATTAAATCGAAAATTTTATGGTAAAACTTAAAGAAACAAATTAAATTATGTAAATTTATAAATATGACAACTATGCATTATGTTCTTATGAGATTTTAAACGAAGATATGTTAAATCTTAAATTTTGTATAGTTTATAGAAATTTTAGATTTACAAAATTTATAGAAAGAGAGAGAGAGAGAGAGAGAGAGAGAGAGAGAGAGAGAGAGAGAGAGAGAGATATTATTATACAATTAATTTTTGTAAATAATTATACTTATAAAAACTTAAGTTTATTTATACAAGATTTTTTGGAATACTTATGTGTATCAATGAGAAAGACCAGTGTAACAAAGTATATAAATTTAGGAAATCTTAGATTTATATATTTATAATGTAACACTGGCATGCAATGATTTAATTATTTTTAATTTTACGTAATAAGATATATTTAACAATAATACATGAAGAAATCTATAAAACAAAAATTTTAAATAATAATAATTAAGAGTTTTTAGAAGAGAAACATTTTTTTTAATTTTTATAAAAATAAGTAAACTAATAGTAGTAAATATCACCTATAACTTCCTCTAAAATTTATTTATATTAATTAAATTTAGTTTCAGCAATACCACTCGTTTTTTTTTCTTTTTTTTTCTTTTTAATAATATAGGTATTGAATAATTGTAGATATATCTCATATGAATATAAATATTTTTATGTTATATCGTTAAAATAAGATAAGGCATATTCTTAGAAATTTCTAAATGAGAGCAATAGATTGTCTATTATTATGATTTCTAATTCAACATATACAATTTATATTATTTTTTAAATATTAGACAACCTAATGTTCTTATGCATTTTATAAAATCTAAGATCGAATTGCTTGAACACAAGCTTTGAAATTTCTATTGTATGCATATTAAGTATATATATATATATATATATATATATATATAAATTCTATTTTATAAAATATACTACATAAAGGCCTGTTTAGTGGATACTAGTGATTAAGCCTGCACATTTAAAATAAAAAATTAATAAAACAAATTAGAAAATTGTATATCAATATAATTTTTGTATATAATTGCTTATATATTATATTAAATTTTTACATTTTATGAGCTTGCATGTTTTATTATTAAAGATTTTTTCTAAATAAATATCTAAAACGAAACAAAATATTAATATTAAAATCAATTATTAAAACAAATATTTTTGTTTTTATTATTATTGTTATTATTTTTTTATTTGTATTTTATTATTTATTTTTTACAGAACATGCGAGAGAATTTAATTTTTTAAATATAATTACATTACAATACATATGTGTGCGTGTAAAAAAATGTGATATCTGTCGAATAGAAGTTTATTTTATCCCATATATATTTTATAAACACTACATACATATTATCTAAGAATGCAAGCTTACATGGTGTACTTCATAATATGTCAGTACCCAAATTTTTTTCGCTTGTAATTATAAAACATTGTGGATAAACAACCCGCATTTATCTTTGCATATGATATTATAAATATTTATTTTTTACATATCCATTTTTTTCAAAGTTTCGTTTTTAATTCAACTTTATTATTATACAAATCTACCTTTACATAATTTACGTGACAGATGCTAACATCCAGGTACTGTGCCACGAGGTATCTTGAAAGACATTTTTATAACTTATGGAGCATAAAATGTCTATAATATCATTAAATTGAAATTTTTTTTTTTATCGAATTAAGTATTTAATATTTTTAATATAATTGATTATGTGCAAGCAATATAGTCCATTAAAGCCTCCACGAAGCAGGCCATAAAGTGCATTTCATGTACTATTAACTGTGTATTACATATGTCACCATAATATTAACTTTGATAATAAATAGCATAATAACATTAATTTTTTTAATAAATGTTGGTTCTTTACTAAATATGTGCACAAATAGGGACACAACGTTTGATACAATATATTCAGTAAGTGTTATCGTTTGTTTAAAATATTAACAAAATTTCTAAATTTCTGTTGTGCATCCGTCATCTGTGCTAATGTTTCCTCCATCATGTTGCGCAATTTTGATAAATCCGGCATTTTATCGCATGATTCAATATTTAATAATTCTGTGAAGAATTGCTCCCAAGCAGCTCTCTTAGCATACCTATATTTTTTAAATAAATTTTTAATAAATCTTATTTTTTATAACTTAATAAAATCATATCAATTATATTTTTATTATTTTTATATATTTTTAAATATATATACCTTGGTATTTTTGATGTAATAAACCAGCGACCACTAATATTTGAAACTCTCATATAATTACCAAATAATAAACAATGACTTGTCGCAGCTAAACAATACAAATCGGTCTGATACGTCCATGGTTTTCCAGTTTGCATTTCAATACACGTAAAATCTTCTGTTTTTATAACTTGAGTAAATGTTGTCTTTTCTGGCAAAAGATTCATATCTATACTACATCCAAAATCAATTAATTGTATTGTTGGTCTCACATCTTCTGTTGGTCTAAAATTATTATAATTATAAATTTGTAATAATTTAATAAAATGTTAATAAATATTAAATACATACAAACGCATTAGGAGAAAATTATCTGGTTTAATATCTCCATGGATTATTTGACATTTATGTAAATATTCCACAATTTGTAATATTTCAATTGTGAAAAATATAGCCAAATGCTCTAATAATGGTTTACCAGTAGCAATTTTTATTTGATTTGTTACTGCTAATAATGTTCCAAATCTGGAATATTCTGAAACTAATACACTACTATTATTCGCAACATATGCCATCGAAACATCCATAAATCCGCGCAACTAAAAAAAAACATTATTATTGTAAAAATGATAAAATTATTATTTGTAAATAATTAATAAATATTTTACCATATGTGGATTAGTAAGACGATTTTTTATTTCCCTAGTGATATAAAACTCCCAAACCCAAGCAGGCTTTTGAGTTTTCAGGGCAACAGTTTGACCTGTTTGTGAGTTCACTGCGCTAAATACTGTACCGTACGTTCCCTTTCCAAGGCACTTTACCAAATCGTACGCTTCAGTACCTAAATACATAAAAAAAATAAAAATAACAAATATAGATATAAAAATACAATACTGCATGTATGATGAGATCAGTATTGTATGACAATATTAATATATGTTTCAAGTATATCAAAATGCACTGACCAAGCGTAATTGTAGTAGAAGGCACAAGCTTATTTAAATTAATATTTAATCTCACATATCCCTCTGCATGATGTGACTGGGGAAATTTAATTTTCTTTAAAAGACCAGCTATCAAATTTCTATCAAAAGGATTTATATTTCCCGAAGGTAACTGAAAGCTTTCTTCTTCTGCTTCTTCCATAGGTTCTTGGTGCTCTTCACATTCCATTGAATCAACTTTTTCTTGTTGATCTATTTCGTTAAACTTAAAGTTAATTGATTTTCGCAGATCGCAATTCTTCTTAATTTCAGAAGTAATTTGATCCACGTTACGTTGTACTGTACGCGGACTTTGAGCGTGCACAGCTTGAATTTGGGCTTGAGCTTGAATTTGTGCTTGAAGCTTTTGTTCATAAGGTTGATTCGCAGATAAAGTAATATCTTTTGTTTCATCTTCTAGACCTTATTAAAAACAAAATCTTCCTTCATATATAGCGAATTTTTAAAAATAAATTAAAAATTCTTAAATATTTGATTAAAATACCTTTATTAATACTTTGTTCTTTTATTGGAACCAAATCTTCTTTTGTTAATGTAAAACCTAATACAGTATTTCTTGTATGAGTACTGCTGCTAGAACTACTTGAAATATATTCTCTAGTAGATTCTAGTATAACACTCAACTTATCTTCAGTTTCACCATTAGGTGCATCTGAAGAGCTGCAAATAAAATATAAAATAAATATAAATTAGAGTGTAATATTAATTAATTATATAATTAAAAATTGCATACGATTGAGGTGCAGCACATTGATTTGAATATTGTGGAGTTCCTTCTATTATTTTGTAAGATTGTCTAAAATGATTAGTCATAGGTGTTGAACTTGTTAATTGCGTATTAAATGCTTCTGTGAAACAAGTATCGTTATTTCCCGTCAATGGTGTGATACCGAGACTTTCATCGATATATAAAGAATTTTCATCAGCTGGCTTTGGTGTCATATTTTCTTCCATTGGTCCATTATAATCAACGACGATAGCGTTTTCTTTATCTTCAGCACTTTCGAGATATTTAATATCTCTACGATTCATTCCTGGAGATTTTATATATGGTAATTCAGGTGGCATTCTATAAGGTTTACTGGTTTCAACATCTGATTCGTTATATGGAGAATAATGAAGTTGTTTCTGAGGTTCTATATTTTGCTGCAATAACGTGGATTCCAGTTGCGAAGGGTATTGTTGATAAGCAATATCATTTGGCATTATATTGCCATAAACTTGAATATGTTGCATATGATGAGGATGATTGTGAAGATGTTGATTATGTGATGGTTGATGTTGAGGATGAGATTGATGATGTTGAATTTGACTATGAGACTGTAAATGTGATACATGAGAAAGAGTATGATGATGGGGAATCACATGAGCTTGTTGATGTGCTTGAATTAATTGTTGATGATGCTGTGAATGATGTGATCGGGAATGAGATTGCTGTACTTGTTGTTCATGATGTTGCTGTAATTAATTATTTTAGAAATTAATAAAAAAATTTCTTAGTATATAAAAAATTTTTTTATATATATTTTATATTATACCTCTATTTGATATTGGTACGTATTATGTAATCCAGAATTATTATAAGAAGTTTGATGCTCTTGATTAGAATAAGTTTGATGAGTAGAATAGTTTTGATGATTCTCTTGATCATTATAAGGTTGTACATTATATCCTGAATGATGTTTACTACTTGACATTGCTTGCTGTGTCATTGAACTATCCATATGTATGTCAAAAGATAATTTACTTTTGGCATCTGGAATTCTAGGTGTCATAGGAGTACGAAAATTAGGTGTTGTAGATACTGCATCAGGAGAGCGCCACATATCTTGTACGACAGACATTGCTTCTTTTGTATTAACAGTAAGACTTTGTCCAAGTAAATGTTCCTCAGGATCAGTGTTCAATGATGATGTATGATGAATAAAACTGGACTGTAACTTTCGTTGTGAATTTAATTCTGCTTCCATTCTCTGTGCTTCTAATCTCTCTGCTTCAATCCTTTCAGCTTCAATTCTTTCTGCTTCTAATCGTTCTAATTCACGTTGCTCTGCCTCACGTCTTTGTGTTTCTAAAACTTGGTTTTCAGTTTCATATTGCTGCCTTTGAAGTTCTTGTTGTTCAACTTGAAGTCTCTGTCTATCCAATTCAAGTTGTTCCACTTCTCTACGTTGTTGTTCCATTTTTCTTTGTCTTTCTGTTATCTCTTGTTGTTCAAACTCTTGTCTTTGACATAATTCTTGTAAAGATATATCATGCCTCTGATGATTGGGTTCAAAGTTTTTATTTTGGATTTGGCGATCAGTTTCTCTTATATCTAATACATCATGCTTTTTCTCTAAAGTTTGTGCTCTATAATTACATTATAATTTTTTTAATATGTGTAATTGTAATCATTTAATAAAATTTATTTATCATTAAAAAGCCATTAATAAAAATAAATTACCTTTGTAAATACACTTGAGCTCTTACTTCCTCCATACTTTGATCCATATTATTAGCATAAACTAATTCTTTGGGATAATGAGGCCTTAATATAATATTTGGATTTGGAGGATCTGGTACAAATACAGGCACTGTTAAATGCTCTGGATATTTGCTACCATCAAAAAAATATGTATGATTTGGAAATAATCTTAGATTGTTTGCATCAAAGTCATCTGGTTGATCTTCATGAACTGATTTAAGTAACAATAAAATGGATAACAAAAAAAAAGAATTTTTCATATAAATATGTAATATATAAATATATTTTTTTTTGTAAATACAATTATACCTTTGAAAGATAATTTTGTAGAAGATATCATTAGTGGACATCGTTTACTTCCACTATTCCATGGACCAGGTTTAATTGTATTTTCTTTATGTATTGTATCTTCTACTGGTACATGATCTAATATACTTGAAATTTTCATTTCACTTGGCATATCATCCTGAAATATCATCAGAAATTTCTTAATGTATATTTATATTATTATATTTCGAATATATCATTAAATATTTATATACTTGATATATCTGTATCCTGGAATTTGGTCTAGTATGATGTATTGCTGATGAAATTTGTGGAATTGTTCCAGGAAAATGTTCACGTACTCGATGTCCAGTACGTATACTACCAACTTTTTTACCAGCTTTTATTGCTCTTAAAGAACTAAAAGCCTGACGTTGCTCAAATAATGACATTTCATTACGATCATCCGTACGTCCTAATGTTTTACGCGCAACTGCAAGTTGAAAGTTCCTAGAATGGATAAAATTTATATTATAAATAATTCTGTTCACATTGATTGTTTTATGATCAGTACTTGTGAGCATAATCTAATTCATCCTGTGGTTGTGCTAAAGCAGATAAACCCATTAAATAAACTTCATCAGCACGTTTATAATCTTCTATTTGTTCTAATTCAAAAGCCCATGCTCTGTACATATCTGCAACCATAGTCCCAATTCCATTGTTATGCAAAAGTTGATATAATTCTAATGGATTTTTTTGCATACTTATCTGCAATCAAATGCTTATTCTATAAAATAATAACAAAAACATTTTCTTCTCTACAAAAACATATTTCAAATCTTACATAATTAATCCAAAGACGTATATATCTACGATCTTGATGATATTTGGTCTCTTTTTCAAATATAGCTAAGCATTGTTGCAAAAGTTTTCCAATATGTGATTCATGTCCATTTTTTGGATAACTTTGCTCCACCCAAAGTATATATTCATACCAATTTTCTAAAGGATCATCTCCATCATAATTTTTTATTGCATCTTCATACATTCTAAAAACAATAATATGAAATTTTAAGATATATTTTAAAATAAAATAGAATTATATATAATATATATAAAATAATATATAATATATAATAATATATAAATAATATATATATATATAAATAAAATAAAAATTAATAATGATTGTTTAACTTACTGTTTTTCATGTAAAAGTAATTGTTGAGCATCTGCATCCTCTTGTGCTCTTAATGCAGTTCCTAACTGTACAGCATTTCGTCCATAACGCAATGGTTGAATATTTTCCTTACAAAGAGCTATGACTGTTGCAGGATCCATTCTTAATTCTATACTTTTTTAATTAAATCACCTTATATTCTAGAAGGAAGAAAACATTGAAATAATAAAGAGTTGATAACATTATTTTTTGGTCTATTATAATGGTCTATTATAAAGATATTTTTAACTGTATTCAAAAATGAATACAATAAAACATGTTAAATTTTGAATAATTTGTTCTAATATATTACAATAAAATATATTAATAATTTTAATTTATTGTAATATGTGAGAATGTATCAAAATCAAAAATTCAAATGCATGAGTCTCCAAGTATTTAATTAAATATAATGCAAACAATAATCTGAACTATAAAATGATAAAGTAAAGTGTAAGCAATCTTTTCTTTGGAAACACTTAACCTTTTACACGTACTAAAACTTTGCATAATATTCTTCGAATAGTAGTGGACCTTCAAATTTGAACAAATCTAGTCTTGATATCTCCAATAAGGACGCTATGAGTTTAGGTTAGGTTAGTTTTCTATTTAACGGCTGCGACTACCAACGGTTGTTCGCTGTCTTCTGCTATGCTGTGTTTCAAATGATGCAAGAGTTACGTCTTGCTAATCACAAATTTTAATTCAATATACTATACGAAAGAGTCGAGAATCGATGTGAAGAAAGATTCACCGTGCTTAATATAGTTTTCACACAAATCCCTATTGAAAATTACCAATAGGACAGCTGTTACAAAGGGACTTTGCATGATCTTTAAATCTACACTTCCGTCACTGTTTCTATAGTAACTTGGCAGATTGGTCCAAAATCGGTACGCCAATAATATTATATTTTTTTTAATTTTTTTTATTTTTTTTTCGTTTTTAATAATCATTATGAAGATTCATTAAATCCAAACAAATTCATTTCATTATGAAGTTTAAAAATTATTTCACAATATAAATCATTTAAAGTATACATAGTTACTTATTATATATCAGATATTATGAAATTTAGTATATTACCTACTTGCTATCTATTATTAAACGATTTTGATTTTTATTTCATTATATAAAAATTGATTATTCTTTTATTTTTCAGCACATGATTTTTATTTTCAAATATAATCGAATTACAAATGCAATATGAATTCTTTATATTTTTATATAAATTTTTTACGAGAATTAACAAAAATATTAATGAAACATAATTTTAATTACATACTTTTGTATATATTTGTACAGTTTGCATTTTTTAAATTAAAAACATTAATCGATACAGAATTTAACTGGAATATATTATCTGATTTTGCTTTAAAAAATTTAATAAGACAATTTTATAATGAAAAAAATTATTACGTAGATCGTAATTCTTGCTTATTAGCAAATATACAATATTTTAAAGTTTCTACACCTACTTGGTTTTATATATGTTCAAAATTTTCTTTAAAAAAATATAAAATATTAATTATACCCAAAATACAAAAAGACAATATTGATACAAATAATATATTTATATCAGAAACTATGAAATATAATATAGAAAATGCATTACACTGCACTGTTGATAAATGTTTCTTATGTAAGTATATATTAAAATATTATAATTAACATTTTAATAAATCTCAAATTTTTTTAATTCCTTTCAGTGCCAGCAAAAGATAATGCTATTAAGTTTGCTACAGTAGTTAAAGTTTCTATGATATCTAATCCATATGAAAGTACAGATAATTTAATACGTATTTTATTAGAAAATTATTTTTCTGAACCTAGATTTCTAAAAAAAAATGACTTATTTGGAATTAATGTAAAAGAATATATGTTGGATCAAATGTATTTATATATTAATCCTTTAATGTCTATAATATATTTTAAAGTTAATTCCATTATTATTAATGATAAAGATTGTACAATTAATGATACTTCTTATATTTTATTTGGAGAAACTACAGTTATTCAAGAACCAAATATACATACTTATTTACCTCAAAAACATTTTGATTATAATCAAATCGAAGAGAAACACATAGAATTATGTCCACCAAGTTTAGCTACACTTTTGGAACATTTAGAACATTGTATTTTGCCATTTATTAAACATGGTAAAAGTTAATTAAATATCTAAATGAATCTAAATAATATAAATTAGATTTATAATTTAATGTTTTTAATAGATATTCAATTATCCATAAACCCAATATTTCTTATTAAGGGTTCACAAGGTTCAAATAAACGTAAATTAATTCAAATTTTGGCTGAAAAAATGGGTTTGAATTTTCTTAATATAGATTTTGCTGAAGTTCAAGCTTTGACATCAGCCCAAACAGAAGCTAAATTACGCATTGTATTACATAATGCTGAACAATCTATGCCATGTATGCTCTGTTTAAATAATATAGAGGTATTTTAAAAATATTTTTGCTAAGATATTTGCAAATTTTCTAAACTAATATTTGTAGGTATTTGGTAAAAATTCTGAAGGTCAAAAGGATGAAAGAGTTATATCAACTTTTTCAAATGAGATAAATTTGTTATATAATAAACATTTAAAGTATCCAATTATTATAATAGCTACTACAAATGAGTCTGATATACCATCAGAATTAAACAGAATTTTTATTGAAACAATACATTTAGAACATTTAAATCAGAACAAAAGAACAAATTTAATTTCTTGGTTGCTTATGAAACAAAATCTTGATTATCAAGTGAATTTATCAAAAATTTCTGGAATATGTTCAGATTTTAGATATTCAGACTTATTGACATTAATACTAAATGCTGTGAAATTTCGATGCAAAGATAAATGGAAAAATTTCAGTGCTAAGAATTTAAAACTTTTTAACTTAGTACTTTTACAAGAAGATTTTGATAAAGCTTATGGTAAAATTTAATATTATAAAAATAATTATGATTTATATAAAAATATAAAAAAATGATAAAATAATTATTTATATTAGACCAATTTAAATTTTTTCACTTCATTTATAGAATATATGCAATCTATATATACAGATTGTAAAGGTACACCACATATACCAAAAGTTTATTGGGAAGATATAGGTGGATTAATAAACTTGAAACATGAAATAACGCGACGAATTCAGTTACCTTTAATGAACACTTTAGAATTCGGACAATCTGGTCTTCTTTTATATGGACCACCAGGAACTGGAAAAACACTTCTTGCTAAGGCTGTAGCAACAGAGTATCAGCTTCACTTTTTATCAGTTAAAGGCTCCGAAATGCTAAATATGTATGTCGGTCAAAGTGAAAAAAATGTTAGACAAGGTAAAGTAATGAAATATATATTAAATATATATCTTAAAAATAAAAAATACAATATCGTAGTGTTCGAGCGAGCAAGAGCAGCAGTGCCATGTATAATATTTTTTGACGAATTGGATTCATTAGCACCTAATCGCGGACGAAGTGGTGATAGCGGAGGTGTAATGGATCGTGTGGTATCTCAATTGCTCGCAGAAATGGATGGTCTTGACTATTCAAATAATGTATTTATAATAGGAGCTACAAACAGACCAGATCTCATTGATCCTGCCCTTCTTCGACCTGGTCGATTCGATAAATTATTATATGTAGGGATTCATTGTGATCGTGATTCGCAATTTAATGTATTAAAGGCATTAACTCGTAAATTTAAATTCCGTGAAAATGGAAAAGAATTAGAGAAGTTTATATCTCAATTGCCCAATCATACGACTGGTGCTGATTTATATTCTGTTTGTTCAAATGCATGGTTAAATGCAGCACGTAAAATTTTAAATAGTTATCAAAATAGTTCTAAAGATGTTAAATTAAATGAATATGTTGTTGTAGAATTAGAAGATTTTTCAAAAGCAGCGTACGATTTGATACCTTCGGTTAGTAAACAAGAAGCCGAAAAATACAAAAGAATGGAGATAGAATTATCTTCGGTATCGTGATATACTTAATTGTATCTCAAGCATTGTATTGAATATTTTCTAGTTTTATAAACGACATATTAATTTATTTGGAGAAAAATGTAAAACAGTTTTTACAATGAATAATTCAATCTAAGATAACTACATTCTATTTTAGATTGTACCAAATAATTAATCTTGTATGCTATTATATGGCAAAGAATGTAATATAGATATATTTTCGGATTTTCAAGATGTTTTACTTATTAACGATACATTATAATATACCAATCAAAAAGAAAAAATAGAAAAATACAGGAAAATAATATCTAAATTTATCGAATTATGAAATTTTATATAACAAAAAATAATGACTCAATAAAGACTTTTTTTTTGCAAATTGCAATAATCGGAATTGAATAATTAATTTACTGCAATCATTAATAAACTAAATAAAACATTTATTTTCATTAAATATGATTAATTTGTGAGTTCAAACAACACTCGAGCACTCTAAATAACAAATCGCACTTAAACGATTATTATTTTATTTATATACAATATAAGATTATTTGCAATTTTGTATTTTATAAGTGCAATATTATGACTTGTGCTTTAAAATGTTTTTAAATATTTTAATTACATTCTTCATATATATATATATATATATATATATATATATACATATATATATATACACACACACACATACACAGTCTAAATTCTAGACTCTAAAATAACGTACTATTTTATTTAATTACAGAATAACATTCCTTTGGTATGATCGCGAGGTAGAATTGATTCTAATGCAATTTATTCAATATATTGAAGAATATACCGGTTTTTTTTCCAGTTCGAATTTATTTCATGAAAATAAAATATTTGTACGTATATATTATAAATTTTTTTTTAAGCAATCATTAAAGTACTTAGAATTAATAAGAAAAATTATAGAATTATAAAAAATTTTTGTTAATCTTATGTTGAATTATTTTATAGAAATTTTACAATTACGAGTATTTTTACTTTGTTTCAAATTATTCAAATAAAAATTATTAAAAATTGTTCTAAAATAAATTTATCTAATATCTTTATCTTTTTTCTTTTTTTTTTAAATATAGTTAAATATCAATTTATAAATTTTATTTTTCAGAATATATATCTATTCAGTATAGTTGATAATTATTAAAAAATAAAATATCACATTTGATAAATTATGCTAATCATTATATGCGATCGACAAAACATTTTGTACAATTAATATCAATCCTACGGAGCATATAAGAAATATGCAAGAATGTTTTGAATCAAATTAAAAGGATTATAATTTGCACGTAGTTAATAATATGTTATAGTTAATATATGGGATATATGTATGCGTGAATGCACGTATATCCACGAATTTCTACGATATATATGAGGTATTATTTTAAATATTTCGTAAAAATTTGATTTGAGTATTCCTTTTCTAAAGAAACAAGCAACAAGAAAGAGAAATAGATTTTGTTAAAAAGAGAAGAATTGTTTCAATTAGCTTATTAATAAATTTGGCCACTGTACAATATTATGTAATTGTTTATGAATTTTTTTCTTTAAAAATGTCTTAAGTAGTTTGAAAAACAGTTATTCTACACGAAATATGAAAAATTACTTAAGGAAATATGCAATAGATTTTTGCTTATATCGATCGTGGAAAATAAAAAACTTTGTACTCAGCGGCCGCGAACTACTCTTATAAAGTTCAAAATTCTTACTTACTTTGTAATATTTTTCATATCTTTCATCTTCGCAGTATTAAGCAGTCTTCTATTTGTATTAATTATATGTATATACGAGTATATGTAACAAGAAAATACAATGATATTTCAGGATATCTTCTATAAATCATTCAGTTAGGTGACAAAGTTAAAAAAGTATTGACGCATGATGCATGCAAAAACAGTAAAGAATATTGCTGATTAACTGGATAGGAAATTTCTGTTGGCTCTCAATGCGTGTATTACTCGATTTATGATACGTCTAAGCTTTCAAATGAAAAATAATATTTTCCAGTAATTAGCAATAGCAAATTTCATGCTACGCATTTCCACGCATAATATTCATCAAAAGTACAATATATAGAATCGGTTATGATTCTTCGGTATTTAATCCTGAAACATAAAGAAAAAGAAAAGAATTAAAATTACATATGTTAATTCTTACAAAGAAAGAAATTTTTATTTTAAAAAAACTTTATTATTCAATATAATTAATATAATAATTTTTTATTTTGCTTTTAGCTTTGACTTTATGCATACCTGGTCAAGACGATTTCGTGGCAAATTCGTGCAGTATGTCACAAGCCATTTCAAGATCGTTCCTAGTAATACCGAGGGCTCTAATTACAGCATCTTGTGCGAATCCTAGAGCTGTTAACTTGGAAATATGTTCGACATTCACGTTCTCATATGCCGCGGATTCAGGTTTAGAAGAACCTGTAGGATCATCCTTACCTCTTATCAGAGCGGACAATCGAGCTGTATTCGCTTCAAGATTAATGTTCCTCACGACGTGTTGTCTTGTACCAGGTATCACAATTGTATTCTCGTAATGATGATCATGCCTGTTATGTTCTTTATTGACTGTTTTCGGTGGTCGTGGTACTGATAATGGAGGCGGAACTGGTGGCACATTATTGCTAGATACAATTTGAGAGATCGTTGTCGAAGATCCGCTGGCACGGCTCGGCTTTTCAGGTAATGTTGGTGGTGGTTGTAGTTGTGATGTGATTAAGTGATTTCCTTGTGATCGACGAATATGAGTTCTGGCCATTGTAAGTGGAGGTATCAATGGCACTGGAGAAGGTGAAGAGGCTCGATGTAGCATATCGTATCCTGCTTCAGAATTTACTAATAAAATAAAACAAACATTCTTTTATAGAATGATTTAATTTCTGCAGAAAATACAGAAATATATAATGAAATCATTGATAAATTTTCCTTCTCTAAGTTTTATTTTTCATTACTTACTATTATTGTTTTGTTGATTGTCGGTATTAGAATTGAATGCTGTATTGATTGTTGATAACGGCGGTGGTGGAGCATTCTCTTTCGGAACAGTCAAATGACGACCATTTCTCGAATGACTATTCGGCGTGGGTGATGGAGAAGGTCGTCGAGGAGGTAATGGTGGACTTGGTACAATTCTTCGCGTCGAAATTGGTGAATTTGTTGGACTAGAATCTTCTTCTTCGTCTGAGTCGTAACACATTAGTCCACAATGTCCGTTACATAAATCCATGATTTCCTAAAACATTGAGAATAAAGAACAGAATATATATTAATTTTTATGACATTAATCAACAAAAATAGTATTTCATTTTAATCTAAATATGATTTTCTGTTACTTGACGCAAAAAAATCGCGTAAGGAGTAAGTATATCCTAATCAAGTCTATTTTTAATTCTAAATACAATAAATTAATAAATATTAAATATTATAACCAAATAAATCTATTTAAATGTTAAAAGTAGATAAAAAATTTTAAAATTAATGTAAATAAAAGAAATTTAGTAAAAAACCTGAATGCGGAAGAACATCACAATTAAGAACGAGCATAATTACAAAGCATCAAAGCAGAGGATCATAATGCATTTGTTCACTTACCTGCATTAAACGAATCAAAATATGTTTCCTTCGGCTATGTACATTATCGATTAGTTTTCGATCATGCAGCGGGCAGAGCAATGGACCCAGTAGATAACATTATGAAATAAAGATAAACGATCATGCGAACGATATAACGACGTAATACCTTGGTTCATTTTTCAATAGTTCCCTGTTGCTGGAACACTGATTTAATAGGCATAGAAATTAGAATCCAGCAAAAGGGATATATATACATAATATGCAAAACTTGATGTAATGATAATATATTTTTTATTAAAAAAAAAAAAAAAAAAAAAGAAATAGAAAAAGAAAGAAAAAAAAGAACTTATTTTTCAAATTCCTAGTATTTTATAATGAGTAGGAAGAAACAAGAAACGTACGCTACACTTTGTAATGTTTATGAATTATTTATTTTAGACCTCTTTCATTGCTGGATATGCACAGCATGAATAGATCTAAACGATTGATCAATTAGCAGCACTAATCATTGTACAAATTACGCTAATGGTTACACGTGAACGCAGTAAAAAATCTATCTTTTAATTTCGAGTTTTTAGTGCAACATATAGTAAACTTTGTCTACTATTTATAGATTCGTAGATATTAAAATATTATACTTAAAAAATTATTGTTCGTCTTCTTTATATTGTTAACTGCCAATTTATATTTTTAAAAAATGAGTTTTTTTCGATTTTTAATTGCTTTCGCATGCATCAATGCATCTATAATGTTAAAATATTGGGGAAAAAAAAAAGAATAATGAGAAACGTATGTACCATAGCATCGAAATTCGGCTCGAAGTGCTACCATACAATCACTGGTAGGTAATAATTTCTTAAAATTCGTTTTATACGTGAATAGAATAAATAATAAATATTTTAAAGTAAAGAAAAATAATAACATCTTTTTTCCCTGGTAAAGATGACGCATGTTATTACATTATTTCTATCGCCAACAGGTACGTAATTAATTCTAATAAAATACAATGAATGAACGAATCATCCATTCATAGGCTACATAGTATTTCTAATATTGCTCGATATAAGCAATGCTCTTTTCGTTGGAAGATCATTTTATCTTATCTGCTTCTTATTTCTTAGTACTATCAAAATCACTATTTTCTTTTGTTTTATACTTTTACCATGTCATTCCTTATACTTATACTTTACTTTGATGTACGTATTAATAAAATATCAATTAATAAAAAAGACTTAAATTTGTTTATAACAAAAATATGAAATGAAGAGTATCAAATCAAAATCTTGTTAAACAAATTTTGTTTATAACAAACGACTTTCTATTTGTGCGGATTCATCGAAAATTTATGAATAAGTTAATATTATGTTGAAAAATTAATTTCCTATTTGATAAATAATGTAAATTTATATAAATACGAAGAATTCTAACTTCAAGTTTTATATGGATAAATTGTAAAGAAGACGCTGCCAGTTATATATTGGCACATGCATTTAAAATATTATTTTAAATTGATTTCTTAATTAATCACGAGCAAAGATTTTTACTCTGTTATACAAAAAATAATTCATATCTAATTATAATTTTAAACCTGATATGAAGATCGACTACAATGATATCTTTAAACATCATCTGTTCGTCATAAATTCTATTATTTTAACTAAATTATTGTACAGCAAGTATTAACATATGTTAAACGACACAAAGAAGGAATTGAGTGCAAACATTTTGTAATAATGAAACAAGAACGATAACTCGTACAATAAGCTCTCGACTTTGTAATGCAAAAAAGCAACCTACCTTAGGGTCTCCATAAACAAAAAAATTTTTCGCAAATTGTAATACATACAAACTATTACAAACAAGAAATTTAAAAACATATGTTAGTTTAATTAAATATGTAAACTTAAGTTTTTATCCAAGATATTCATATTAATTATTTGTAAACTTAAATTTTTTTAGAATTATGCTATAGGTCATTATATATAAATAAAAAAATAATAAAAATAATAAAAGAAAAAAATTAAAAAAAAATACTATTCAAAAGAAATTTAAAGACAAATATAGAGACAAAAAAGTTGGTCCCTTTTTACATTATTTACTTTCAGAAATATTAATTTTAATAAAATTATCATTATATTTAAACCTATGTACCTTATAAGAGGTAATACTTTCTCGATGATAATTTTATAAATGACATGACATGACAATCGTACAAACTCAAGATTTCATATGAAATGCATGAAGCATTCTTTAAAAATGAGGCATGTTGCTGAGAAATTGTTATACATAGAGCACATTTAATATAATGAGGGTAGGTGCTACTCCTAGTCGGATACCTCGGTGTCCGGGTCAAGATCCCGCGTAGGAGTCGATGCATTACTAGCAGATGCCGATTGCGTTCCTGGTCGATGTGTTCTTCGTGGATCAAACGGATCAATTACTATTTGTTCAGTTCCTTTAATTTCAGCTCGACAAAACGGACAACCCTGTCCTTCAGAATCCTATAATTTATATTTATATTATTATAAGATTGTATTTCATTTTTATTCTTTTATATTCATTTATTATATTTTATATCATTTATATTCTTCCGAAATTTTTTTAAAATAAAAGTATTTAATTAAATTTAATTAAATAGTATAATTTAAGAATACATAAATTACATAAATACATAATTAAATTATAATACCTGCCAAGCAGTAAGACATGGAGTACAAAGAAGATGTCCACAAGGTTCTATCCTCACATCTTTGTCATTTTCTGCACAAATTTTACATAATTGGAATGTACTACCCATTTCACAATATAATTCATATTGTTCTGCTGTTACTTTTATATGTTCTTCAGGAGTAGGTTGAACTGCCCATGTTAAATCTGGATTTATATTACGACCATCAGGATATAAGTAACTGGAAATAAATTATAAATTTTAAAAACTAATAGGTTAATAACTTTTTATATGAAAAAAAAATAGTTTGCTTACAATCCTTCTCTATATCCATCTAGCAATGCTTGACAAAGACTTTTATTATGAGGTATTGTTTGAAGGATATCGCCATCTGATGTGACATAACCAATAGCCCATTGTCCTAACCTTGTACAACTTAATCTGAATACATAACTTCCAGGTCTAGTACTACAATACTTTTGTAAACGTGCTTTCACTTCATCATAAGTTAGAAAAGCTACATATCCAGGATGTGTTACAGCTAGAATTTTCCAATTACGGAGAAGTGTAGACCATGGTTGGAATAACCTATAAAGATTATTAAATAAGAAAATTTATTATAATTCATTTATTTCATTAACTACATAAAATAATTTCTTTTTATATTTCTCTTTTTAAGCTTACCTTGTAAATACATCAAATTCAAAATTAGAAATATAATCATTGCATGTGAGATCTATCGTAGATTTTAATGCCATGGCTTGTAATCCAGAACTTATTGGATGAACTTCGTTCAACTTATCTTTGAATACTTTCCATGGAACCAATGTACTGAAAACAAATATCATAAATCATATTTTATAATAAAATTACATAAATAATTTTGCTTTAATAAAATGATCATAACCTAAAAATTATATGTTATTACGTTATTTTCATACCATATGCATAATTTTTGCTACAGAAAATAATACTTCAATAATAAATAAACATAAAAGTATAAATTATTGATATCATATTTTATAATAAAATATTGAATATATTATATATATACACACACACACACACACACACACATATATATATATATATATATATTGTTTGAATGTGAGTTGATAAACTGTAAATTCATACCAACTCACCAGTATAAAGACAGAGCTCCTGGAGTGTAGTTCGTTTCCTGTTCGTAATATTTAATTATATATTATTGGTGAGATTTACTTAATTCAGTTTATGAACTTTATTAACTTTATTATTATCAAGTAATATAATTATAACAGAAATATTATTCATAAAAAAGAATTAAAATTTAGAATGACTAAGTACTAGGTATATAAAATATGACAATTCATGCAATTCATGATAATATATAAAAACAATAATCATCTATTATCATTTATTTTAAGTATAAAAATGAACATTTACTATGTTGATATTTTTGAAGTTTCTACTTAATTACTTTATTTTATTTTATATATTATTTTAGAATATAAATGATTAGTTAAAAATACGTGATAAAATTTAAAAAAATATACTATATAATTATATACAATCAGCATAAATTTATTTGATAATGTACGCCACATAACCTTATCATAAGTTTTACAAAAGTATTATTAATTCTTATGATATAATCAAGAGATAAATAGAAAAAATTATTATTTTGTATTACATATTAGTATTAGTATTAGTATTGAAAATTTCAGGTATAACACGATCGTGTGTTTTTCACTTTACACATATTGCGCAACAAAGAATGAATCTTTTTAAACTACTGCTACCAGTGGGCTTTACTCATGCTATAAGAAATTTTTCAGGCACGTAATATAAATTTAACGAATGTTTTTTCCATTTCGTTATAAATATTAAAAAACGTAATTTGAAATTTTTATTTCAATTGTATAATGCATGATATAATAAAATATTATAGAAATTGAATTATTTATTTATTTGTATTGATTTGATTGATTGTTATTAATTATAAAAACTAATTTAGTTATAAAAACTAATGTTAAATAATTATAATTTTTTATTACTAATGATTGCGTGAAATATATATAAAATAAATTATATGTAAAATATACATTAGAAATAATAAAAAGAATAATGTATTAATATTTTGAGACAAAATATTACTGACATATAAAATATTTTGACATATAAAATGTAGTCATTAACTTTTAAATAATTAAGAAGAATTTTTAAAGAATTGATATAGTTCTAATTTATTACAAGTAAAATGCATTTCATATCATCACATTTGTTAAAATATTCATAATATATATATATATATATATATATATATATATATACACAATACTGTTTATATATAGGAATATTATAGATTATAGTCTAATGAATTTTGTTAAAATACATCTTTTCAAAATATTAATTTTGCGGTATCGATTATATGAAAAAATATCATTTTATATAATTTTTATTATAATTTTATATAAAATATTTTTTTTATGAATATTTTAAAAATATGGAAAATAATATATTTAAATTTCACATTTTAAATATAATTTCACCGCAAAGGCAATCAACATTAGAATGAATTATGTTAATAATGTATGTCAAACTTATATGTACATCAAATTAATATCAAAGTTGCAAGTAATCATCATACAAATAAGGTTAATGTTAAAAATAGTACACACTAACACTTTTATGAAATAATGAATAATCAAAATAAAAAAAATCTTTTTTTTATTTTAAAATGTTACAACAATAAATTTTTTAAAATAAAAAAGAAATAAAAATTAAAAAGAAATGAAAAAAATTTTCAGCATATATATAATATTTAGAATATTTTATATATAATTATAATATTAATAAATTCATAACTTTAAGGAATTAAGTAGATATTACTGCTATTAAATCCTGTTTTTTGTTATTGTTATTTTTTACAAAAAAAATGTTGAAGAATTTTTATTTTAAAATTTAAATTACATAAAATTCATTCTTTGATAATTATATGTATAGCAAAAAATTGTACAAAATAACTTAATAACAAAATATCTTTCTTAATAACAAAAATCATCAAAATCCATTAGAGCGTATATATTAATATTTACTAAGAAATGAATTTTATGTAATTTAAATTTTAAAATAAAAATTTTTAACATTTTTTTCGAAAAAAATAGGAATAAAAGAACAATAATACTTATTTAATTGTTATCTCTAATTGTTATCAATTTATTAATATTATAATTAGAAAATATTTTATTTTCTTCACATTCACTATTCGTTTTCAATATTAAAAACATGTAGAGCAATTCATTCCTAAACTACTACATATCTAGCCTAAAATATTTAATGCAATAAGACATTTTAAACATCGATTTCAGTTGTAACTATGAGTGGAAACGAAAACTATAAGGAAGCGAAATCGATTTACGATTTCACTGCGAAATCCATCAAAGGCGAAGACGTTTTTCTATCTAAGTAAGTAATAAATAAATAATATTAATAAAAAAAAGACGTGTGAATATACTTAATAATTCTATTTTATTTGCAGATATAAAGGACATGTTTGTTTAATCGTAAATGTAGCGTCAAAATGCGGCCTTACAGCAACAAATTATAAAGAATTGAATGAGTTATATGATGAATATGCTGAATCTAAAGGTAAAATATAAATATAAAATATATATATAAATTAATCTAATAAAATATAATTTGTATGTAAAATATAAATTGTATCTAATCATTCTTTAGAACACTAAAAAAGATTGTATTTATAGGTTTACGAATTTTGGCTTTTCCTTGTAATCAATTTAATAGTCAAGAACCAGGAAACAGTGATGATATATGTAATTTTGCTGATCGACAAAAAGTATAAAAATCTATTATATTTTAAAATAATTTAAGATAAAATCTTAATCTTTTAATTTTTAATGATATAATTATATAATTATATTTTATTTCAGGTTAAATTCGATTTGTTTGAAAAAATTGACGTTAATGGAGATTCTGCGCATCCTTTATGGAAATATTTAAAAAAAGAACAAGGAGGAATTTTGGGTGATTTTATAAAATGGAATTTTACAAAATTTATTGTAAATAAAGAAGGCAAAGTGGTGGAACGCCATGGTCCAAATGTGGCTCCCAGTAATTTGAAAAATAATCTTGAAAAATACTTTTAAATATCTTGATCTTATAATTACAAATGTTTGCACTAATAGTTTTTATAATCAATTAATATATGTATCAATTGCAAATTATTATTATGAAAAGGACAAAAAATTTATATATTTCATTTATACGTTTTTAGATAAATAATTTTTTATTTAATAGAAACTTTTTAAATTATCAAATATTCAACATTTTTTAACATTAAAAGCAATAAATTACACTTTCTATAATTAAATAATATTTTAAATATCACACTTATATGAATAAATATATCATTATCGTGTATTATAATATACATGTATTATAATGTTTATTCATTAAAATTTAATATCTTGAATATTATTTCATTTAATCTCGCACCTTGTTTAAATTATTCAATTATACATCTTTTAGTGAATTATTTTTTTCTTTTTTCATAGTAGCAAATATGTTTTATGCGTTTTTGCTACATTATGATTTTTATATTCATTCTTGACCTTGTCTATTTTTAGTATGCCTTTTATTTAAACATCAATTAAATCCCATATATATATTTTCTATATATTTTCTATCATAATATATATTCTCTAACATAATGTATTAAATATAATCGAGCATAATTGAATGTTTCGTAGCTTTATCTAATTTACAAGAATGTATCATGGGAAATTAATTCAATATTCTTTGCTTACGAAAATAGGTCAATATATCCTAGGCACATTCGAGTAATACGATGACATAATTACAGATCAGTACCTATCAGGTCAAGGCAAATACTTAATTTGCTTCATGAAATATTTTTTTTTTTTTTTTTTCTTTCTTTTTTCTCGCAATATATTTAAAATTCATACCTCAGTAAGACAGTACTTGACAAATTCGAACTGACTGGATAGTAAGAAAAAAAAGTAAGAACAAAAAAAAAATTCCGATTCATGAACTCGTGTTCTTCCTGAATTTCAATTCTGAATCGGTTTACGTCATCATTAAACTAGGTCACGTCCTCTATTGCAAGAGTACTATCTCGGAATTGAATGTTCCGCGATATATATGCGTATATATGCATCAACAGTACGTGGATAACGTACAAAACGAAGCTGAAAGATACTAACGCTATAATTAGTTGTCCTTGCTTGCCGACTGATCCAAGCCTCACCTCCATTCATAGATCGCTGCTTTTCCGACATCTTCTATATAACGTTTCTAATTTCTATAAATATAAATTGTATAAATTGAAATCGAATTAATATAATATGATATGATATTTTAAATGTATTGCGAGATTATAAGATCAAATGTTTCTAATTACTATGATGCAATAATATAGATACTCTTTAAATTTTGATTTTTGATTAATTATATTATATATTTATTTTTTACTTTATTTTTTGTTATTTTATTTTATTTTTCATAGTTTTTTTTTCAAAAACACGATTTTTTTCGCGATCTTTGAAATTGCTGTGATGATGGAAACAAGCTATCTTATTCTATTTGTGCATCATTTCATTTTCTAACTATACAACCAATTGGCATTCCTACTCCCCACATTGTTCAAAAAAGTATTATTATATAGACTTTAACAAAAACATTCAAAATTAAATTATTTAATATTTATGTACAATATTTATGTATATCATTACAAATGTCTAACAAAATATCAAAATAAATAGATAATAGTTTTAAATTCAAATTAAAATACTTTTATTCGTAGTTATAAAATAAAAAAAATTGTTTTTCTAAATATACTATTGATAATTTAATATTTGTTTTAATTTTTTATTGTTCGATTTTATAATTAATTATATATTATATATATATATATATATATATAAAATAATGAATAAGAAGCAAATTATAGGAATATTTTTTTTGCAATTTTGATTTAAATTTAGAATTTGCGATATATGCTTTTAATTTTTCGTGTGGTTTATAAGTTAAGATTTGTAATCATCGATGAATAAATGTAATTACATAATATAAAAATACACTCATGGAAAATGTCAATGGAACGATCGGAGTAGTTTGTTTTAAGAATGGTTCAAAGGTTTTGCACGCTCGTGTAAATCTGTCGGATGATTTTCTTGAGAATAGGTGCCTGTATTAATATATTATTGACATTACAGCTCTACTAAATCAAGAATGCTCTTAATTATATAAAGAATGATAATTTATATACTTACATGCTTCTTTATATTTTATAAACATGGAATTAATTTTTCATTTTATCATTGAATGATTTTACAAATTTTGCTTATCTTTTTTACAATAAAACAATAAAATTAGCATTATTGATATTTAACATGCTTAACATTATTTAATTAAAAAAATTAAATAAAAAAAACTTAAAAAAATTTTTCGAAATTCCAACTCAATAAAATATCCTATGCAATGAAAAAGATTAATAATTAATAACTAATATGATTTTTTCATTATTCAATTAGAACAACTTAGAACTTACTTAAAAATTAAACTAGTCAATTATTCTACGTTCTTTTATGTTATTAAAAAACTATGTAATATATATAAACTTGATCTATAAAAAGCAATTATTTTTAATTCAAAATAAACAATTTCTTATTTTCTCTTCTTTAAAATTGCATGCAAACTAAAAGATTCAAAAACGAGTGAAAAATTCGTAAAAGCATGAAATCATAAATCTTTATAATCACTCAGAATCATTTAATGAAAGAATATCAATCTATTCTTTTTCAAAGAATAATATAATTGCTTGCATAATTTGTCGTTATTTCGAATCTTTTGTCCAATTCGAATACAAAATCAAAAATATTATAACAAAATTAAATATTATGATATGCTATTATTTGATTCGTAATAAGTAAGTGATCCTGAGCAATTTATTTTAAAGAACTTTGAATCAAATTTTGATATATTTTTAAGTATGATCGATCGAATTGAAATTCAAAATGAATTCGAATAATAAAATATATGAATAAATGAAAATAAATAAAGATATACCCGGTTATTTTAAGAAACATAGGTAAAGAGAACGGTTCTGGTTCGTTCACGCGGCCATGTCGATTCGTACAGTTCGCTCTGCTTAATTCGCTTTAATCGCGACGTCACGTCCCCTTCCTTCCGTTTCAGCTCACGTCCGGATGCAAGCTTAACTGGTCGACTATGAAAGGGAAGGAGGGTACGGACCTCTACTTGTAACTTCAGACACGGATAGTTGATACGTATCGGACCACTTCTACCAATGCATTTCCAACCCCTGCCGACCGGAATTAATATAGTATCTTCTGCTAAACATTCTCTAACATAAATACAGTTTTCACACAACCAATTTTCCCACCTACGTATGAAATGTTTCTTCAATAATTTCTCCAATTTATTTTCAGTATATTATTACTATATTCTTCAAATATGATTAACTAATATGATTAAATATTTCGATTATTATTAGATTTTTTCTAGATTTTCTTCAATTTTATTTTATTAGTTATATATGTTAATTTTAAAATTAAAATAAGTTAAAAGAAAGATGTTTATACAAGTTAGAAAAATTAAGTTAGAAGGATTTGTTTAATACAAATTGTTTTAAAGTCATATTAAAATATATAAAATTTAAAAATCAATCATCACTCTCGCAAAAATTGTTATATATTAGTAAAAAAAATTTTGATTGAGAAACTATATAATAATTTCAATAATTTTCTTTTATTTTGTTTTCGCGAAAAAAACCTTTGACAGTTTGAATATGTAATGCTGTCAATCGAATCTCGCAAATGACATGTTGCATCCGATGCTTTATTCCGAGACATCAAATCTGCTATGCACTTGATACCCGATATCTCAAGAATAAACAGAGACTAGCAAACTTCAAGATTCTTTCCAATGAAATTCCAAACATATTGATCGATTCAATATCATATGAATCAAATTAACTTTTTTTTTTGCTAGTTTTAAATCAGATGTTATAATTCGATAATGATTCGGTTTTCTCTTTTTGCCTCTATTAAAATATTTGATACAATAATATTTGATCATATAAAATATATGTCGGTGTGAACATTGGTCACTTTGCCCCTGAAGAGTACAGAGATTCACATTCAATTATTTTCACCAGAGGGGATAAGGGAACCGGAGGTACATTAATGAAATAATCGTAGGAGACAAGAAACCGGAATGTTCAACCTCGTTGAATTCCATTCTGCCTCACTACTTTTTTCTCATATGACTTTCCCAGCCCACATCCGGTATATCATTGTACATATACATTGTAATGGAACAGTAGAAAAGAGAAGATTCTGCCTCCAGCTCGGACTAGCATAAAATACAATTGTATATAACTATAGACCGAGACCATTACATAACTATTAAATGATTTCAGTCTTATTTTCAATAAAGTCTCATCTTTTGCTACCGTTTTTAGTTCAATCAGCTATTGAAAACATTTGTTAAAAAGACGAATACATTTATATATGAAATATACATTTATATTTTAACTAGTTATTCATCGATACTCTAATAAACAAAAAATTTGCAACTGAAAAGTAGATATCAGATATGAGTTAAAGACTTTTGAATGATATGATAATATTATTTGAAGATTTAATTTTTTAAACATATATTTTATATTTATTATACAATTTTCAATTTATTTTTATTGAAAAATTTTTTTTATTCGTGGATTTCAAAATTTTTATTTATTGCGATTTCCTATGTTGATTACTTTCTTTAAACGCAATGCGCATTATGCGTCGGAAAGGTCGACTAAAAATACCGAGATACCGATAATTTTCTAAGATATGTTACATAGCGTAATAATGATAAATATTGTTTCCGGTATGATAAATCATGACTTATGTTTATCTTATCGACGTCAAATTAAATGCGCAGGAATACTTGGGAGTTTTGTTTGATTAAAAAAGCAAAATATAAGAGCGTAAAAGCGTAACATAAGGCCTGCCGGATGTCCGCGGATCATTTGACCGGAAACTGAAAGTTCGTGCATTGGCGTAATCGAAGCTTGCCACATGTTAATCACATTGTAATCATCCGCATCCTACAAATGTTCAAAACAAGAATCTTTCCCCGATAAAAATTTCTTAAATTCTTACTTAGCTTTTTGGAAAACTAAGTATGATGTCATTTTTCGTTTAATAACATAACCGAAAAAAAGATTTTAAGAAATTAAAATAGAAAATAAAACAAAAATAGAAGTATATCTTTGAACGAAAATTTTCTCTATCAATTTTGTATCTAAAATATTTATGTTTTATCGTTTCCAATTTTACAAAAAATTTAACTTCAAGTTTTATAGAAAAAGTTTATTTAAATTTATTTACAGAAAATTTAACTTCTAGTTTTATAGAAAAAGTTTATTTTATTTTGTTTACGTATTTTTTAATTTCAATCAAAAAATTTTCACAACATAAATTATATTACAAATTGTATTACAAATCATCATAACATTAAAGAAGATAAATTATAATTTAAAAATTTGTACAAGATATAAGACATTTACACATATAACAAATATTAAATGATAAACATTTTTATATATCGTGGAAAGAAAGAAATAATCACGAATACATAATATCAAAGTATTTATGCAAAATCTATACTAATGAATGAGTATGGAAAGCGTGTATAACGAAAGGCTATTCGTTCATGAGTCTCGTGTCTCAACAAATCGTCACGGTCTCTCGCGACATTGTACAGTAGTCAGTCATTCATGAATTGGCTCGAACTGCTAGTAGTTTATTTATACCGGCTGATAAATCGCTACGCGGCATGTAGCCCAGAGCGCACGGCACGCGCTTTCCGATACTTTGTCATGACATATTCCAATAAAAATAGGTGTATCAGTTTTGTAAAATAATATAATATATATTAAGCGTCTCAAGAATAACTAAGAAATAGATTTAAATCGATTCATTTCATCATCATTTCATCATTCATTTTTCCATCAATTCATTTTTTTATTTTTTTCTTATTCTTATTTTCTGTCACAATATATCTCTAAATTTTCTTTCTTCTTTCTTCTTTCTTCATTTTCATTCATTTGTGTTCTGAATCTGAATTGCTGTCAATGAATAGTAACCAACTGGCAATACTGAGTAACGGTTCATCTTAACAATTTACACGGTTCGATATTCTGCAGCCAATTATAAATAAAATTCCGATTACACCGGAAGTGATTTTGTGTTAATATAGCGGTAGATGTTATTTGATATTTAACGCTTCATTATCTAAACAACCAATCTCTCCAACCGGAAACATAAACGAGTCATCTTTTTTTTTATATCACTCACCTTTTACAATGTTATAAAAAGAATATACAGCATTTAATTTATGTTTTAATTTTTTAGTTATATGTTTATATTTTTTGTACTTAATTATTTTAATGTCATTTTAATGTTATTTTTCGCTCAATGCTCAATTATTTTTAAATTTTATTTTAATATAGCAAAAAATGATATTCACCGGATTATTTATATAATTTATATAATTTATATTATTTTACATAAACAATAAATATATAAATTTCAATTTCTTTAATTAATAATAACTATTCATAAATTACTTTAACAATATTTTCTTACGAATCTAAAATAATTTTGTTTCAATCTGCCGATTTATCAATAAATAATAATTTGAAAAATTTGAAATAAAAAAGTAAAATTTATAATGTATACATGTATATTAAATTATTATTAAATATTATTATTAGTAATAAGCAAGAAATACTTTTCATAATTCGAGGTCATATGAAAATATAACTTTTTGTCTATATATAAGTTTGCAGATAAAATAGAATACTTCCGGTGTCGATGAATACATTTCGCGAATGGCGTCAGGTACAAACTAACGAACGATTCAGTTTTCAGTGCACGATACTAATGTCAATATCAATAAGACAGAGACATTTTTAGGTTAGGTGTGCGCACGTGCGAGCCACTAGCGCGCGTTTATTATTCGTTTTTACGCACGCCAGAGTCGAAAACATACGCAATGAGACAGGTGTTCTGTTTATACAATAGAAATGAAATAGAAAAACAGAAAAAAAAAATCTTATTTAATATACATACCTGATTCCAAAACTTTCTTTCCAGAATTCAGCTGCATCTGCCTTAGTAATACGGAATTTATGTCCGGCAAATACTCCGTTTGGAAAAATAGCCTTCAATTCGGACAACATGTGACTAAATACAAGGCTAAGTTTAGTCAAATTTCTACGATAATGTGAAGTCTCATCAAACATTTTTTCTTTGCCTTCTTTGAACAACTTAATTGCCTGCTTGCACTTTCTCATAAGATTATTAATGAAAACACAAAAATGTTCGTTACTATGTAACACCTGCATCCTATCTTCATATTTGCTATATATCAGTCTCAATCGTTGATACGTATCTGGTAGAATGTCCAGGATGAATGGTGGTGAATTTTTTAAATTCATCCTTTGATGTTGACATAATTTAACTACTTTGTCCATAAGCTTCCAGGTCTTATCAAGCATTCGCTTGTCGGTCGAAAGTTTCGGCAGTGTCATAGGATCAGCAAACCGACCGTGAAGTTTCTGGAATATTGAACCTATGTGTACGGCTCGAGTACGACTGCTATGTCCTCCTGACGACATCTTGACATGTGTGTGCATATCCCACGACACTAAAACTTCTTGGTACTCGCTCTCAATGCGAGTCCCGCGCACTTTTACACTTCACTTTCGACAAAGCCACAGACACTGCTTTAGGTTAACTTGTCCTACACTCGCGTGATACAGTATACTGCATGTCCCTCAATAAAATTCATTCATTATTACAACAATTTTCTCATGAAATCGTAGCCACGAGAAATACCATAACGTTGTACGATACCACATCCTACTCTTTCTACTTCGTACTGACAACAGCGGATACCATCAACGAATCTTTCGACACGATCAAGCGTGCCCATTGCTCGTTAATTATGATTTCACTTACGTCCGCGTGACGCTCTGTGGCGCTATCATCAACGCGCTCTATTTAAATTTTAAAGATTCTGTTCTAGAGATATTCAAATTTATTTTTTCTTTTTTATTAATGAATTTCATAATCTGCGTCACTTGGGTAAGTATAAGTGATAAACGAAGACAAACATATATTTATATTCTTACTTTTATAATACAATAGTTTTAATATTATACATGGATTATTTGACAAAAAACAAATAAATTAAATATATAATAGAAATTCACAAAAACAGATTAAATTAGAAAAATTTAATCAATTTATAAAGCCTTAAAATATTATGTGAATGTTTACAATTTTATAAAATTATACAAAATTATAATCCTGGCTCTATAAATATGGCAGTAATATTTCATGAAATATTTCATTATTTTCTATTAACAATCAATAAAAAATAACGAATAAATGAATTTTCCAAATTACACGCATATATTGTATCTAAAAAAAAGATAGAAAAAAAAAAATTCTTTTTTTAAAATATATTTTTAAAAAAGCTCCATGCTTTTTGTTTTGTCGCGTTTCGTTTAAGTAATTATATTAATCTTTTTTAATAAGATTATGAGCATAAGTAATTAAATCAAAGTAGCATCTTGTACTATTTTTTGTTTTTTTTTTTTTAATTAATAATGGCCATATGTCATCTACTATCAATGTTTGACAGCCATACTATTTGTATTTTTAATACAATATGGGCTATTTGCTATCTAAGTGATCCTCCATTGTAAGAATACAAATGTTGTCACCGATTTTTCAAATAATAACTTAATCGTAATAAAATAAAACTTGTCATTAAGAACCAACTTGCAGGAATCGACGCCAATACATAATATCTTTCATCTGGAACATTGAAAAAATAATTATGTTATAATCTTTTTATATTAGTAATGCGTTTTAATTTAACTTTTACATAATTTCATACATATACGTTCATAAGTTTCATACATATATTTATATACATATATTATAAACGAAAAATAGTCAAGAATATCTATCATATAAGATAAATCAATAAAAAATATTATCTAAAATAATTTATTATCTATCTTTTTTATTAAAAAATATGTTTTAAATGAATTATGTTGCATTTTATGTTTTATTTTACTCATATTTTACTTTTTATATTTTACATAAATTTTACTTTTTTATATTTTATTTTTTCGAGATATCAAGATTATTAATTTCTCAATATATTTCTTTCTGTATTACTGATAAAAAAAGAAATTCAACGATTGATATAATATGATGATTGAATTGATTCTAAATTTTTTTGTCATATGTTCAAAAATTTCTTTGCGTTTTTCAAAATAATGATGAACTATTCTTAATTATTAATTTATCCAACGCAATTTCTCGATAATTTAATATGCTATTATATCTTATATCTTTTGAAATATTTGATACATTTTTATAAACAGTAATTTTTAATGTCAGAGAAGAAATGCTGCAAATTTAAATCCGCCAAATATGATTACCAATTATTAGATATCACATTTTATAATGAACGAAATCTCATGAAATAAATGAAACTTTATCTAATAATAATTGTAATATATTTTTCAAAAATCTCATATTTTTTTTAAGATTCTATTGTAAGAATCAATTATACGATCGTGCCACATTTGATTTTATAACATGTTTTATATGTTGTGCTTTATATTTTTTATTTGAAGATTTATTACAAGATAATAGATTTTATTACATAGATTTGTCTCTCATTAAGCTTTGATTTTGAAAGAAATATCGAGAAATATTAGACAAACTCAATTCAAACATATTTCATTAATCATTATTATTTTATTATTGTTGTTATTATTATATACTATTTTGAAAAATGCAAAGAAAAAAAATACTGATAAATTTTAAATAGATACTATGACGCAATATATTAAAACTAACAATTACGCTCAACATTTTTTCAAGTTTGAGATTCAAGTCTAACCAAAGTCAATCAAAAATCATATGATAAATCATTATAATCATATATTTTTTCATTGATTATAATGAAAAATCAATTGAAAAAGATACATTAATTTTAAAAAAATTCATTTTGAAAAATACAAAATTTAAAATTATATTTATTTATAATTTATATTAATAAATTTTTTAGAATATAACATAATTCATTTAAAACAATTTTCAACTAATAGATAATGTGTTATTTTAGATAAAAAATTTTTTATTGACTTATCTTATATATATAAATGAAAATATTAATTAATTAAAGAAAAATATTAATAAATCATTAAAAAAAAAAATAAAATATTATTTAATATTAATACTATATTAATATTAAATACTATATTATTATCATTATATTTCATAAAATAGATATCTTCAAAATAAGATATCAAAATAAGATATCTTCAAAATATCAATTGTAAATTAAAAACAAACACAAAAATTGATATGAAAAAAATATTAGTTATCATTTATTTCAAACAATGTGATTTCTTGACTAATTCAATAATAAACAACTTTGAAAGCAAACATTTTTAAAATCTTATCTTTCTTTTTCTTCCAATTTCTAATATTATATATATTTTTTTTTTTGAATATTCTTATAAATTTCTAATTCTTATAAATTTTTTACTATAAATTTAATTTTTTATAGTGAATTCTATATAGTGAGTCTTTTATTTTATCAATTTTATTATTAATAGTTCTTCATTTATTTTTTCTATTTTGCATGATTTCAATATATTTCTTTTAGATATATATATATATATGATAAAAAATAAATTTTATTACACATATATATATATATGACATTACAACATATTAGAATATATGCTATTAGCATGACTGTTTCAATTTTATCACATATTATACATAATACATTTGTCTTTTTAATTATTAACAAAATTAAATGTCAAAAATGAAGAAATTGATAATTTTATGTATATTTTTTAATATACATATATATAAAATTATATAAATACTATATATAGCATATAAATAATAAAAAATACTATATATAGCACTATTATTATTATTATATAGCATATAAATAATAAAAAAATTGATTCAGCAAATGGCAGATGCATAATGTGAATAATACTATTATCAGATCAGTTTATATATATAATCAAAATAAATTAATTTATATATATAATATAAATTATATATATATATATATATATATATATATATATATAATTATATATTTTAAGAATTAGATGAAAATGCAAAAATGCGTGTACGCTACTTTCAATTATTATCAATTCAAATGAAATAATTGAATCAGTCAAAAAACTGTATTATTTGAATTATTAAAGCTTATTTATATAAATTATAAGCAATTGAAATTTTCATTAGAAAAAATAAAATGAAAATAGAGTGAAACTGCTTCTGTTTTCATTATACTACCATCGCATTTAGTTCTCATTTCGTTTTATCTAACGAGAACTTAAATTTCTAACTTCATAAGCCTAAATCAACATTTTTTTTATATCAATTTTTGTGTTTGTTTTGACTTCTAAAATCCAAGATTACAAATATATTAATATTCTGTATAAACAAGATCTAATAGAAATCAGAAATTTGTTTTACTATCTCATATAAAGAAAAGGAGAGGAAGAAGAGGAAAAAGAAGAGAATCTATTGTTCTAGTACATAATGTACTAGATATATTTACAATAAACACATGCAAGTAGAGAATAAATATTCAATATGAAATAAATCAGTAAATTTCCAATAATAATTAAAAAATATAAATATGCTTGAAATTTTAAATTTTAATTGCTTAATATTTTTAAATTTACCTGTCATTTGATCAGATTTCTTTACTGCTGCCCAACCTAAACTTCTTTCAACTGCCATTTTCCACTTTTTATATCTGGCATCTCTTTCTACAACAATAATATCTTATAGAAATAATATAATATTTATAGAAATAGTTTAAATTATTTTTAAATTTGGAAATTTTCTACCTTCTGGTGTTGTTGTTGGCAAAAATGTATCAGTCGATACTGTTTCTATTTCTTCACCTTCTAATTCCCAAATATCTACACCTTCTGCATGACCTGCTGCCATTGCCGCGCCTAAAGCTGTAATATCTGGCATTGTGGACCTAACTGTTAATATGCACGAATATTATTATTTTATATTTTCCCTCTAATAATATTTAATAAATTGTACTTACATACTGGTGTACCACAAAGATCTGCTTGCAACTGCATAAGAAGATTATTTGTTGACATTTTTCCATCTGTATTTAACTTGGTCAATGGAAAACCACAATCTTTATACATAGCTTCTAAAATATCTCTAGTTTGGAAACAGACAGCTTCTAATGATGCTCTTATTATATGCTGTTTTGTTGTAAATGCAGTAAGTCCACAAATAATTCTATGAAACATTTTCAATCAAACAATATATGCATCTTATAAGAATGGAAAAAAAATTTATAAAGTATTTACCCTCTTGCATCTTTTCTCCAATATGGAGCATATAATCCTGTAAAAGCTGGCACAAAATATACGTCGCCAGTACTAAAAACACTTTGTGCCAAATGTTCACTTTCATGTACATCCTTTATGAGTTTCATATTATCTCGTAACCATTTAATAGCTGCACCTGCTACTGCAATTGAACCTTCTAATGCATAAACAGCTGAACTTTTTGGGCCTAATTGATAAGCTACCGTTGTAACTAATCCATGAGAAGAATATACTCGCTAAAAATTATAACAATTTATAATTGCTAATCAAATATTCAAATAAAAAACAAAAAATCACAATATTTTCTTATTACATACTGTTGTTCCCGTATTACAGAGTAAAAAACATCCACTTCTATATGTGTTTTTTGCTTGTCCTTTCTTTAAACAATTTTGTCCAACTAAAGCTGATTGCTGATTCCCTAAAATCTAGAAATATAAAGAATATTATATCTGATATATATATTGATATTTTAATTTTTTAATCTTTATTTTAAAAAAGCAACTTACACCAGATATAGTGATACCCTTTAATGGACCGATTGCAATTTTTCCATAAATTTCAGCACTGCTTCTAATTTCTGGCAACATTTGCATAGGAATATCAAAATATCTGCACAACGTGGGATCCCATGAAAGAGTTTCTATGTTCATTAACATGGTCCTTGACGCGTTTGTTACGTCAGTAATATACAATCCACCGTCTTTGCCACCCGTTAAATTCTGTAACCATTTTTCAATGAATTCTCTGGATCATGAATGTTCATCATCTATGTTTCCTTTTGCTGTAAGGTATAATAATTGTTTGCATATTCTAGATAAGTTCTACGTTCAAACACATCGTACTCACATACCCAAACGATCCAAGTGTCCATCGTACCCACTTTACATCGCCTGTCTCGCATTGCTTTTCTAACAGTGGGCACATTATCTTTCATCCAACGTATTTTTAATGCTGAAAAATATGGACTCACTGGCAAACCGCATAAAGGTTTGATATGATTCTTACTTTGATCCGGAAATTTAGCTATTATTTGATCAACAATCGAATTCGTTCTAATATCGGACCATACTAAAATAATAAAAGTTATTAATGAACGTTGCAATTATAACTTATATTTAGCCAATTTAATTATTATTGGAACATACCTATTGCATTGTATAATGGTTCACCAGTCATTGCATCCCATGCTACAGTAGTTTCTCTTTGATTCGTAATACCAATTGTTACTATTTCGTCCATTTTTAAACCTAACACATCTAATTTCCGTATAACATCTTTGATGCAAGCCTTTACCGCAAAAAGAATTTCTTTGGGATCTTGTTCCATCCATCCTTCTTGCGGACTTATTTGTTCTATGTCGATTTGATGAGATGCCACTTCAGCTACATGCTTCGCATTGAATACCTGTAATATAATTTAGTTTTATATTTGTCATTTGTTATTTTGGAAAAATATGCATTCAATCAAGTTATTAAGTTATTAATATTGAGAATATAATATTATTTTATCTTAAAATCGATTTATATAGATAATTATTCACTCAACTACAACAATGTCTCACCACAAAACGAACAGTTCGCGTGCCAACATCAATTACTCCAATAAGAGGACCTGGTTTTTTTACTGAACTTGGCATTGTATCTGAAATGTAGATGTAAAATTTAGTTTATTAATTTAAGAATATAAACCTGACAAATATAATTTTATAAATTTAAATGTGAGAAAAAAGAAAGTGCGGGCAACATTAGTAAAAGGACTGTATAACCCTATTGAAATAATATGACTGACCAACGAAATGAATTTAATAATTCTATCGTATTCACGTTCCATAAGAAGCACGATACGTTTTATTATCACGTTTTATTATGTTTTTCGATAACCCATGCTTAGGTTGAAGTGATAATATGTATTAGTAAGATTAGAGATGAACCAAACACGTGGTTTGCGCAAGAATTTTTTGTAAAATTTATTGTATTAAATATGACGATTAATGTTTTATTATATTTGTAAGATATTTTATTATCCTTATACGAAGATGTAATTATTTTTTTATTAATTTATTTCGTTAATCTTATCTATTGCATCATATTTTTTGTTTTTTTAAAAATATTGTTAGCAAACTGCAATTTATATGCACTTTCGATGTATCTAAATTTTCCAGTTTTAATTACTCTTCTTAAATATCATTCATCAATTAAAACAATGTTTTTTTATTTAGTAAAATAAAATTTTTATCGTTAATTTTAGTTTTATTGATAGAACTTTTCTAATAAAAATCTTTTTCTTTATTAACTTGAGACAAAATTTATATAAAATTTATTAAACAATCAAAATTTTTTACTTACATATTAATATGAATTTACTGAGAAATCACATAAATAATATGCAATTACAATATTAACAATATTAACTAACATTAACAATAATTTTAATATCACAGCATAAATATCACGAAACATTTATTATTAAAAAAACAATTATTTTATCTACAATTCGAATATTGAAAATATATTCTTTAATTTAAAAAACAAAAATCTTTCAATCAATTTTATTAATTATCAATCATATCATAAAATTTTTTCTTGATAAAAATTTATTACTTTTGATGTCACTAAAATTCTTTACATTTAGAAGAAGTTTCTTTAGAAGAAAGGAATTTAACAAGGATTTCAATTCTTATTGCGTCATATGAAAGAAGTGGGAATAATCACGTGGTATCGTTGTGATTTTTTTTATCAAAATATGCGAACATTCAAAACAAAAGAAACATCCATAAACATTCATAAATTCATTGCAGCTAAATCATTCTGTATTTTGCATTTTATAAACTTCAAGTATTAAGTCCGGAATATTCTGCAGCTTTCACAAGAATAGATTTAAATATATAATATGAAAATAATATGAAACTTTATTTCAAAGATAATTTCCATTTTGTTTGATAATCTTTTATCTCTCAGATAATTACAAAATTTTTCTTTCATAAAAGTTCTTTAATTATTTACAAAAAAGTTGTCGAGTTAACTACTGATTGCCTCCAAAGAATTGAATTCTACGTTTTTAAAAGAATTTTATAAGGATGAAAAAAGTAATAATTTGACGTTATAAAAATATAAAGAATAGACTAAAATATTCATAATCTGATTCTGCGAATGTTCATCGAAATATGTAGTTATAATATTGCGAAAATATTGTTTCTTGTTCTCTACTTAAATTATTCAATATAAAATCGAATATGCTGAATAGAATTGAATATAGATAGATATATTTTTAGAACAAAAAACTGCTCCTTTTTATTAGTTCAGAGTTTTTGCTTTCTCATTTACTATAAATGAAATTCAAACTAATATTCATGAAATTGTGAGAAACTGCAGGATTTTCTGAATAATTTAATAAATACACATTTATGAAAGATATCTTGATATGTATAGATATACATAAATAATATTAATTATTAACGCATACATATATATGTATATGCATACCTACATTTATATGATAAATAAAACATAAAACATACCTACTATTATATGATATCGATATTATTTATATACAACATCTAATTTTATTAAAATATCATTCATCAATTAAAACAATGTTTTTTTATTTAGTAGAATAAAATTTTTAAAATTTATAAAATTTTAAAAATATTTTAAAATATATATATTTCTATATATTCTTTCGCATATGAATTATTATTTCTTCAATTATCTTAGAATCTTGTCTTCTTTCAAAATTTTTTATATTTTTTTATAAATATATATACATACATAAATATATATACAAATTTGTTCTATAAACATTAATTACATAATATTTTTTTGAATTTAAAAAATCAATTTTTTATGAAGTGTTTGTACATATTTGTTTTGCGTTAAAAATCTAAATGCTCAAATTTAAAAAAATATAATATATTTTAATATATATATAATAAAATATATAAATTTTAATATCATATTTTTTAATATTGATTAGCATTGATAAATATTTAAATTTTTTGTTTGCTAAAAAATAATATGTATTTAGTTGTTACATGTTATTTTCGGTATTCATGCGATCTTACAAATAATTTATTTGATTATATTTATCATAATAATTCGATAAATCTCTACATGCAATTGGAGAATGATTGTTTTATATATTGTTTGGTAATGACATTAACAAAATACGAGGTCATCAATCTCGTGATCTTTCACGCGATATATTGTTATATATATAGTGTTTCATATATGATGCCAACACTCGTTTCGATTGCAAAACTTAACATATCTATTTGAATATTCATACAATCTTATCTTTTGCGAAAATGAACATTATGCTTAAAAAACTTCCGGTATTTCCAAATTTAATTCATATTAAATAAAAATAATAGCATTTTATAATTGAGTAATTTCATTTTAAATTTAAATAAGACTAATTTTAAAAAAAAAATATGATTGCCCATTCTAAATTAATATATCTAAGATGCAAAAATTATACACGATATAAACGGGATAATTATACATCACACGATATTAATATAGATATATGTATCGTCAATTATCCCATATTCTTTTTTACTTTTAATTAAATTACTAATGTAAAATTATTATACATATTAATATATAATTATTATGCAATTAATAATACATAAATATCTTTTTTAACTAACAAAAAACTCTTCAATATATTTAAATTCTTTATTTTATACATTACAAAGAAATTTTTTTTTTTTAATTCTTATATTTCAATAAATATCAGTTAAGTCGCAGTTTATCTCAGCGATAAAATATTTCTGATAAAAACATTCGAAAATAAATATTTCAATTTAAAATATAAATGGCAAGAAAAATAAATAATTTATTAATAATTTGATAATTAAATAAATTTAGAAAAAAAATATCGATTGTATGATTTTAAGGAAATTTATTAAAAATATATCGAATTTGTAATTTAATAATAATTATAATAAATTTTAATAAATTTATCTTTTTTTTACTTTTTTTTGAAATGCAAAATAATTAAACGGTTTTTTTATATAAAAATATAATTAAAAACAAATTGATTCAACTGACCTTTCTCTTTAAATGAATAGTACTTGAAGATACTTGTTTTGCGACCGGTTTGAGTGCGCTCCAGCTCCGGAAAACTGGATTCATCAAACATTCCATCTTCGTCTTTCTCAGTTTCTTCCTTCACCTCTGGATCCCCATTCTTTGCAACTGCTTCCGCCTTCTCTTCTTCCATCATCATCGATTAATAATCCAATAACAGCGACACACGCGCTAATTCCCACGAAACAGGAACACACCGTAACTTACTATGTCCAGAAAAACAAGTGCCGTCAGTGTCGAATTATATTTAAATACAAACTTCTAACTACAAAAAAAATTACACCAACGAAGAGCAATTAGAGTCATACTGGATTTATTAGCATATATCGGATACACTTTGTTCAAGAGAAATGCGTTAGAATCACCGATATTTTTTTCACCTGTTTATCTTTTGCTTTCCTTACCTCCCGCTTCGTCTCACTTCAAACCGATTACGTATCATTCGACGTTTCGTTTCTGTTCGTCTCTTAAGAATCGTGTGTCGTCCACGCGTTGTAATCATAGCCAACAGCGATTCTAAAATTAACCGTCTATCATTCGATTGCAATTTCACGCTACTATTCCAAATTATCCGTCCTTACTCGCATTTACGTGGATCTTCAGTTATCACTGATATAGAAATCAATTCATTGTTATTTATGCGATGAAAACATAAATATGAATTTTATTCATTTTGTTGCCGGATATACTGACATAATTTCATATAACGAAAAAAAAAGATCAGACATAATTGAACTTAAGAAATCAAATTTCTTAAGAACTTAAGAAACAAGTTATACAATTTTATTTTTTTGAATAAATATAGAAACATTAAATAAAAAATTTAGTAATTATCTAGAAAAAGAGACTCCTTACTAATTTCAATGATTTTGGAATATATTATAGAGAATAACATTTTAAATAATTTTTTCCTATACATAATTGTTTCTTAATTTTCCAGATATTTGCAAAAATAATTATTAAATACTGAATATTACATTTCATTTATGTGCACAACACATACATCTATATAGCATGCAACTGCCATTTATTAACTATTCGCATACATTACATCAACTATTCGTATACAAATACATTATGGCAGCTAGTATTTAAAAAGAAAATATATATATATACATATATATAGATGATTTAATATCACCATACTTAATATCTACTAATAGAAACTATAGCGAACTTAAGCATTCCATGGATCTTGCGGAATATAATAAAATATAATAAAACAATTGTTGAATTAATAAAACTAATAATAAAAAAATATGAAATTATAATTATAATAGCAAAATCAGATTCATATTTAATATTGTAATATCGATTGTTATGATTTCGATTATTATATATATATTTTTATTTTCTGCAGATTTGAAGGATCCGTTAAATTCCTAAGTTCAACGTTGTGTGGCTTTAACATGATTTAAATCCATCAAAATTCATACGCTTTTTCAGTAATTCAATCGTTATAAATAGAATATTAATATATTGTACATCTTGGAAGAATAAATTTTTAAAGACAATATAAACAAATAAATACAACATAATAATAATAATAATAAAGACAACAAAATAAATACAAAAATATATAAAAATTGGGAATCAGTTGAAGAAAAAGTTATTTATTAAGTTATAAGTAATTTAAGTTCGTATTGGATGAATCGAAATAAGAGCAGAATACAATAACAATATAGTAAAGACAGAGTGATCTCATTCTCTTTTCTCTCGCTTTGTTTAATTCAATTAATGTAATAGCTTAATAAATAAACCTTAACCTATATTTTTGTATAATTAACTTTTGTGTTTGTTTTGGTTTCTAGAATTATCCCAAAAGATGATGCATGAGTATATATATGTATCATAAAAGAAACGTTAAAAAAAATAAGTTAAAAAAATCTCATATCTATAAAAAAATAGATTTTCGATAGTAATCCATAGATAGTAATCCATAGATTTCAAAAGTAATCCATACATAACATAAAAATTGATTATCAATTTTTAATTAATCACATATACACTGTTATATATACTGTTACAAATGCATATGTATAAAATTCAATAGAATAGTAATTTTTTTTTAAATATCTCGAAAAATAAAATTGAGCGACAATTATATGTATAAAAAAAATTTATTAAAAATCTTATTTTTTATAACATATTTTTTATAACATATTTCAGAATCATTGAAATCCGCGAGTTCTCTTTTCTAAATAATTATTAAAAATTTTATTCTTATGATTAATATTTGATTTGTAATTATATTTGCATTTCATAATAATTTAATTATGGATATATAAAGTATGATTACAAATACATTATAAGATATATTGAAAAATAAATTTTGTGAACATTAAAATCTTATTTTTTTATGACTGAACAGAAGTTTATATAAAAATTTCTTATCAAAGAAATATTAAAAATTAAAAATATATAAAATTTAACATTTAGAAAGTAGTTTAGAATTTTTTAAAAATGCAATGAAAAATTAAAAAATATAATTTAATATATATAAAATAAAAAAAAGACGACAAGACAATCAAAAGAAGACAATCAATAAAATAAAAGTTACAAAAAAGATAGTCCCAAGTTCACTTCCACAGTTAGTTTTACAAAGTAAACAAACAATTTTCGATGACGACACGGTTTAAAAGGCTGTACGTGAAGTACCGGACACATGATGTGGTCTGTTAAATGGCCGCATAATGCGCTGATTTTTACCTGGGAAGCATCAGACTATCCGATAGTACTCTTCCTGTTTCTCTCTTATATACAAACTGCATAGGTGATCGAGCACTTGCGAGAATATATTAAACGACAGTAGCCATCTAGCGGCAAAATTAAAACTAAAGCTTTTATAATTCTCCAGAAGTCGCTACATTACTTGGCGCAAAAATATAAAGAATTCTATTTGCAATACAAAATTAGCAAATTATTTCTAAAATTTATACAATGTTACAATTAAAATTAAATTGTAAAAATTATTATTCAATTCTACATCACCAATATTTATATAATATTTTTTTAAATAAATTTTATTAAAATAAGCATGAATTAACTTAAAATTAATATGAAAATATTTATTTTTAAGAAATAAAAAAATATTTTAAATTATATTATACATTAGATTTATTCGTAATTATAGTTTAATTAATTAAAATAACGTAGTGAAGTGTAAATTAAAATTCTTGTAACTTTATTTGTTTATATCATTTATTATATAAATTTATTTAATGCTTGTCTCATAGCATATTCGCAATATGAGATATATATTATTATATTATATCACTTTCCAATAAATGATTTAATTTTCTACAAAGAAAATTTAATATTAAAAATATAATATTTGCAAAAAAGAGTAAATTATATTTATTTCTTTTTTTAACCATAAAATTAATTTTTATATTAAATACATTTCATAAACTATATCATTACGTCAATTACGTCAATAATTTATATTTAATAAAAATCTCTATATATAAAATGACTATACATAAGACAAATGAAATATAGTAATATCTAGTTTTGATATATTCGTATTCAATGTGCGTCACCCACGTGCTATGGAATTATGGGAATGTTATATCACCTTGCGAATTACAATGATGAAAAAAAACACGAATTATAAATGAAACGTCTTTATTGAGTAATTTTTTTTGACTGGTAATCATATTTTTAATAAGAAAAAAAATGTTTAAGACACCATAAAATAAGAAAAACACATTAAATACTTACGAAAATGTTGCAGTTGACGGCCGGCAGATGAATACTTAACTTCTCTGTGTAGAAACAATTATAATCAGTATTTAAATGCTCGATCTTTTCGATCTGTACTTTTTCAATAAAGTATGTCTAATTCAAAAATAGTATGAAATAAAAATCAAAGAATATAATATTGGTGGCACTAGTGAAACATAGTACTTGTCATATTTTCCACTCTACTATACCATAACTTATTGTCGTCTGGTGGAGAACACAAGACTCTAGCAGCCATATGTCGAAGCTAGCGCCTTGCATGATACATATCTTATTCGATTTTAAATAAATCTTACAAATTTTTAATTTATTACCTTGTCTAATTTTTAACTTTAAATATTATTTTATATTTAAAAATAATAATAATAATAAATAATGAGATGCTGAAAATATTTTATACTTAAATATTTTTTTTTAATACTTAAATTTTTTTCAACTTAATTTATTATATAAAATATTTACATTAAAAAGAAATTTATTTAAAATAATTATAGTTATATTTTTTTTAATTTCAATTGAAATATTCAATATCAAATATCTTAAACTAGAAATTGATTATTTTTAATTTTGACTATTAATATACCTATCTGTATTGTATTAAATCGTAGATTATAGAAAATGCATGCAAAATAACCTTAAAATTAATAAATATATTTATTGTATGTTAAACTATTTGATATTACATTTATAATTTAAATATATGATGATTCCTAAGTTAAATTCGCAACAACAAAATATTCAAGATCCCGTAGAAGAGATGTTAAAAAAAACTGGTTGTATGGAATATCATTATCAAGTTCAAGTATTAATTTTATGTATTTAAGTATGAAAATATATATATGTAAATGTAATATAAATATATGTATATAAATATAAAATAATATAATATATAAATATATAAAAGTATCACTATTTTCTATTATTATTTTCTATTTATTAAATTTACAGGAGTGTATAGCAGAAACTCAAGATTGGAGGAAGTGTCAAGAGCAAGTAAAAAGATTCAAAGTATGTATGGATGAATATCAAAGAAAAAGAGAGGAATCTTATTCAAATAAATAAACATGTCAATAATGCATTATATAAAATGTATGTTTATTAATCCTATAATATATTCAAAGAATGAACAATATAAAATGGTATTAGTTGTTCGATCAGATATATTTATGGGAAAGGGGAAAACTGCTGCTCAATGTGCTCATGCAGCAGTAGAATGTTGTCATCAAATATCACTTAATACAAAATATCAACAAATGTATAAATCATGGTTATTGCAAGGCCAATCTAAAATTGTGTTAAAAATTTCTAGTGAAGAAGAATTATTATCATTAGCTAAAAATGCTCGTAAAGCTGGTTTAATTATTTCTATAATAAAAGATGCAGGCAAAACTCAATTGCAACCTGGAACAATATCTACATTAGGGATTGGACCAGGTCCAAAACAATTGATAGATAACCTTACTTTGAACTTAAAATTATTATAAAAGTTTAAGAAAATAATAATAAATTTTATAGAATGAAAAGAATTACTTGTATAATAATATATAAATATAATAATATAATAATATATAAATAATAAATTAATATTTAAATAAGGGATAAGTTAATATTATTTACATAAATTAAAAATCCATTTGAAATTTTAATTAATATTTTATTGTTTATTAAATTATTTTGCTACTTAATTTTCATAAAAGAATTTTAAACAGTTAAAAATTTTATATATTGAAAAACATATATATAGAATTAATGATATGATAATGATATTAATATATTTAGTTATTTTTAGTTACCTTTTTCATAATAATAATAATATATAATCTTGCATGCAGGTTTAAGTTGACTCAATTTTCATATTTGCCTTTTATTTTTAA